AAGCGCAAGTTGTTTTTGGAGTTCTGCTTTTGACCACCTTTCAAGTCGGTTATCTGGACGTTAGCCCGGCGCTTTGCAAAAGAAAGTGGCGTCAAGAACAAAACGCACGTCTTCACCAAAAAGAAGAGCTCCGCTTCGCCATCCTCGGCGCATTCCAGGTAGATCTCCATTTGTCTTTGCGGAGAGCCACACGTTTGTTCGGTGTATCCAAGCGCACTGTGCGCAAGGCTATCCGCGAGAGTCGCCCGCACAAGCTTGGCCCGATTCGTGAGCTTTTTGCCCGATGAGTACGAGAAGCAACTCGACTTTCGACGGGGCGAGGCCCTCAGGGATTGCACAAGATCCATGACATCTGCAGTTTTTGCCGTTTAGTAATGACGCGACATTTCACCGGGACGTGCAGGTCAACAGCCAGAACTGCCGCTATTGGACTTCGACGAATCCGCACTTGACGCTCGAGATGGCTTTGCAGACGCCGAAAGTAACAGGAAATGCCGTTTGGTCATAGTCTGGAGCGGAATCTGAAACAGGACGTCGTTGGCCAGTTTTTATTCGACGGCAACGTGTCTGAAGACACATACCTTAAGATGATGCAGGATGAGATTCTTCCCAAGTTGGAAGCACTACACACGCAGCGGGACGTAGGCATTTTCGCGCAAGATAAGGCGCCACCCGAATGGGTGACAAGTGTCAGGGACTGGCTGGACACCATCTTTCCAGGACGCTGGATGGGCCGGAGATTGTCGAACATGCGGTGGCCGCGACGATTGCCAGACCTCACAATATGAGACTTGATCGTTTAGGGGTTTGTAAAGTCCCAGCTTTACAAGGGCCGCATCCCCACACTCGGCACCTCAAAGCAGCGCATCGCGGCAGCGTTCGCTCTCATCACGGACGAGATGCGAACTGCGGCATTCGGAGAGTACGAGACCAGGCTTGGCCTTTGCACTTGGCGCCAAGAAGACCACGCCGAAGCCCTGATTCGGACTGCAGTAGAGCCGTAGGGCCCTGCATAAAACTGATATGGCAACGATCTACGGAACAAACTTACACCTTCCCGTGAACTGCACGGTTTATTTATTTGAATACCCTGACAAAGGCCCTTTTCAGAGTTGCCAAATGCTGCCGTCACGGAGCCTGGCCACTCTTGTCGCGGCCGCTTTCCCGTGTCTATGAATCCATATGCAAATTATATTCTTTGTTGGCGCCCTCGTTTCTCCTCAGATATCGGTCCTTGTCTTATCTTCATACCATACAATCCGGTGTCGCACAATATGTACGACCTGTAAAGCAGTGCAAGGCTCGCGTCACAACACCAAGAATGCCGAGCCAGCTGGTGAAGCAACAAAACATATTTGTTGAGGATAAACTAAGGCATTATACAAATACACAATTTAGCGAGCCTGACCTGGGTTAAAAAAAGTTCAACAACAGTCTGGAATTGCACCCAAACCGAGCGGACCACATGAGAAACGATACGACCGTAGTGTGCGGCAAACAGCCAGCCTGAAACCGAAACTAATAAAAAAAAACTTTGGCCGATAGAGGCGCCATCTGTGAGATGCGGTTGCAAACAGCGGCATTTCGTCTGCCGCTTCTCACGGACGGCGTCCTCTTATGGGCGAAAACCATTTTTCACTTGTTAGTTTCTATTGCGGTAATAGTAAGTGTTGAAACTTTGGCATCTTTCTCGAACGACTGGGGCAACGTCCTGACAGAGTTTAAGCTCTCCCAGATGTCTAGTTAATTTTTTTTTTCGGTGTGAAAGACACGTTTCGGTTTTCTCGTATACTCCCTGTAGAGTGCCTCAGGCACCTGACGTGTCACTTTGAATGTGAAAGCATTAACTGTCTCGTAAAGCGGGCTGACGTCATCAGTTTGAAGTGCGAAAGCGGCTCCTAGTTTCCGTATCGCCTTCAGTTCCATTAACTGGTGCGCGTCGACGGGGCTCCCATTGGCCACTGCGCCAGGGCCTCCAAGATCTCGAAGCGCGCGCGCGCTAGTACGCAGCAGACGACAAGGGGAGCGGACGACCAGACGACCAAGAGAGCGGACGAGCGACATGCATGCTTTCGCATTCACAACTCCTAAGAAATGCTTAGATATACCTCGAGCTTTTTCTTTTTGCCGTCCCGAAATCGTAGAGGTATTAAACGACGCTTCCCATAGGCACTATTTACAGTGAACTGAAAGGCGTCCTCCCACTATGGCTTGGAGAGTGTACTTGTGCGCACGGAGCCTATCGTTCAGGCAGCGTCCCATTTGCCCAACGTAAGTGCGGCCGCACGAGAGGGAAATGTTGTACGCAGTGGTGTACCAACTTTTTTTGAGTGGAGAGACAAACCAGAGGGCCGCCCCCCCCCCCACCACCCAGGGCCATGGCCCCCCTCCTCCCCCCCCCTCCCCCCCCCCCCCCCGGGCCAGAAGGCTGTGCCCCTGGTCTCCCTCTGGCGCCGCCGGCCAGTGTTTGCCGGTGGTGGCTGTGTCAGGGGGGGGGGGGGGGACACACATGCCTTGCCCCCCTCAATTCTTAGAGTGGGGGCGACGCCCATGGTTGTACCCAACACCAGTGGCACATGGCATGTTTTTTTACATCACGTCTTCTTATGGATTCCTTCTGCCTTTGCATAATCTCTGGAACAAATCTCACTCGTTTTTTGTGGGGCTGAAAAAACACTGAAATTCCGTAGCAGTTCTCCATATTATATTATAATTAACTGCTGTTCTAGTTGGTAATGCATTATAGAGGTCAAGCGCGCAAAAGACACGGACAAGTAGAAGAACAGGAGAGGACAGGACAAAGCGCTACTATTAACTGGCGTTTTAATGTGAAAGAGGAGGACGAACCTGGAGATTTCTTAGTGATACAAAAGGAAGAAGAAGATTGCTGTCAAAGCAAAGAAACCCAAGGAAAGGAAAATATATATATATATTATTTTTTTATGAACTTGAAGAGGGTAGCCTGCCGGTTCGGAGTCAATGTAGCTATATCTGCTCCGGACAAACTCAAGAGGCTTTGTCCCAAGGTCGATTCTGAGAAGCATCTACAAGACCAATGCAGCTTTCAGCGCAAATACACACAAGTATGTCACGTGCCATATAGTGGTCGTCTATGAGATTCCGCTCTCCTGTGGGAAAGTGTATGTGGGCCAGTCTTGCCAGTATGTCAACATCAGACTACGTGAACATGCCCTTTCACTAAAATACCTCCGGCAGTACACCTCGCCCTACATATCCGAGACTGCGAATGCACCCTTGGGTTTGCTAAAACGAGAATTCTGTAGCAACACCTCAACTCGAGAGCCAGGAAGGTCTATTAGGCTCAAATCGTCAAAGCCAGAGGGGACGCTCGCAGTAGCGCACCGTCAGTAGCCTTATCTGACAGAAAACTACAATACCAGAATTGTTTTTCTTTAAACGCTACAATATTTCAAATTTTTCTTTCTCTCTTAGTGTGCTCTTTAAACTTCTTCTTTACTTTTTTTCTATTTTTTTGTTCCTAATTGTTTTTTCTTATTTTTCTTGTCTACTCTCGTTTCCAGAGCCCTGTTTTTCTTTATAGTTTTTCATAAAAAATCCTTTCCTTAGTTTGTTTTGACACCAACCTTCCTCTTCCTTTTCTATCACTAAAAATCTCCAGGTTCGTTTTCCTCTTTCACATTCAAAACGCCAGTTGATAGTAGCTCTTTGTCCCGTCCTGTAGTGTTCTTCTAATTGTCCGTGTTTGTTGCGCTCTTGTCTTCTATATTAGTTCAGGTTTCTTTTTTTTTGTGTGTGTGGAACTCTTTAAATACGCGATTTCCACTGGTCGTTTTCTTTCCACACCACGTTTTAATACTTGTTAAGCTTTCTCCTCTTCAGTAGTGTGCCTGCCACGTCTTACATGACAGCCCACTTTTTTAAGTCTGCCAATTTTCAACTTGAAGCTGCTTCCTACAGCGTGGAAGCAGTATTTCTTCACTGCCAAGCTTAGATATGTTAATGCAATACCCCTCATTACAATAATAAGAATATCTTACTGATATCAAGAATATCTTTATTATATCTTGAACTGTACCTCCAGCAGACATGGGAGTGTCCTGTTGATGGAGATGTCGAGGTAGTGGAGCACACTTTCTTATGGAATCTAAAATTTAAACTTAATCCCCCCCTTTCCTCTACAGTGTCTACACACACACACACACACACACACACACACACACACACACACACACACACACACACACACACACACACACACACACACCACAATTGTCTCCACCAGTTTGTTCACCTACTTCTTTTTTTTTCATGATTCCAGAAACTGAAGATGAAGGTTCAGCGCCTGCCGTAATAAGTAGATATCATTGGCAGAAGATGTTCGCGAGAACACGTGAAACTGTATTTTTGTTTTGTTATTGTATATAAGTAAAAATACATAATTGCGAGTCAGTGCTTTGTCTTGTCCGGTGTGTGGCTTCCTTTTGTACCTTTTTGCGCTGTGTTCTTTCATCATGCTTTACAGATAGGTTGCCGTGTTCTTGTTATCTTATATTGTTCCAACTATTAGGGGCTCCGCTCTTGGTGTTTCGGTTTTTGTTGCCACTTTTTTTTTGTAGAGCGCTTAGCATTCGATCGTGTATTCAAGTAGGTATTAAACCTAACCAGGTATAAAGTTACAAACTATAATGTGTTGCTCGAAAGACGTTAGCAGTTTACATATATCAAAATAAATCCACATTACACTCAACGTAAATTGCATGTTTAATTTATTATTTCCTTGATTACAAGTTGTCTTACACGCAATATGAATAAAACTATTACCTAGCGTTTTATTTTGTGTAGTGTTGCACTCCTGTAACAGCCCCAAAGGGCTAAAAGTATGGATAAATAAAAAAAATAAAAAATAACTTTAAGGACATCTTTTAAGGATATTGTGTTTTTTGAGTTTCTAAATATAAGCTGAATGTTGACGTAATCATTTCAGCTTACAGACATAATGATTTTTTGCTTCTACTTAGGTGTATCTCTAGAGGACGCTATTGTATTCCCAAGACTGCTTGAAGAAAGGACAAAAGGGGGAAAGCAGATAGTTTTGGTTAAGAAGGATTTACGCCTAGAACTGCAAAAGGCGTCAATATTATCAGAAAGCGTTTTGATTAGAGGCTTCTTTGGGGAAAATATGGAACCGAGATTGGTAAGTTGCAATTCTGAAATATATTTATTTGAAGCATATTGTGTGTAAACTGCTCTATAGGAAAATAATGGTAAATTAGAAATGAGCACTACAGTTTATGAGTAGATTAAACATATACATAGTTTCTGTTCACGGAGTAATATGGTATTTCAGCATTCGCAGTCTTTAAATTCAAGATTGAAGGCCCACTTAAAATTAGAACAAATAAATTGTCTGTACGATGTCAGTCATATACATTCAAAATATATAGTGCATCTTGGTGTAAGTCTTGTGGCCCTCCCGGTGGCTGTATTGGGGGCTACAGCCACTGCCTTCTAATTGCAAGCTGCCTTTAAGTCCCAATAAAAATATTGACTGACGTTATTCCACTTCGTACTCTTTCTTCATTCGGGACCCAAAATTGGAATACTTCGATGGAGAAAAAAATATTTATTTATTGATGTTCCCGGCAGCGATGGTGCACTCCCAGGGGGACATAATATTCGACAAGGAATGTCAAGTAATTCAAGAAATCATTCGCCATCGATACCGCGGCGCAAAACAAATTAACTTGTCATGGCCCCTTAAATGGCTTATCCCTTTTGCCGCCTAGCCGCGGAACGCCGACTGTAATCATCTCCGGCATGCTGTCCCATAAAACAGTGACGCAAATATTGTCACAAAGGACAAGTGATGAGGCGGCGAATAACTGAGTAAACTGAACGTGTAATAGTGCTAAACTTGTGCTGAAACATAAAAAAAAAAAGGAAACAGAAGATAACAGCAGCGCGTCGCAGGCGTCAAATTCGGCGTAAGAGTGGAGTCGAACGCTGGAGCGAGACTGACACGACAAGGTTGCGGGCGGCCTCTTATCTAGAGTGCGTCACTATCTAGAAGATTCAGCAAAGAAGGCTAGAGCGTCACGCGCTCGGGGTGAGAAAGAACACGCGCTTTCTAGAACAACAAAAGCAGGAATAGATGATAGAATTTATTTCCGGTTCAAGAATAAACGAGAACCTTCTAGAAGTCCGTGACCGAGCGTTGCTTTATCGGCCCTGCGCGCGGCAATATTGCCATTGACATGTGCCTCTCCGGAGTAAAGTGGGTTGTCCTTCTTCTTCGCGTGTTTGGTTTCGGTATCGGCTGGCTTCAAGCTGGTTTTCACACCAAACTTTGGGGAGGAATATCTCAAACCACGCGCTTGTCCCAGAATTTTTTAAAATTGAATTGGCTTTAGAATTTAAGGAATCCTAATTTAATAATACAAACGTGTGCCCTAAATCCAATAATTAAAAAGTCAATTAGTTTTTTTGTTAATTAATTACTTCTTACCTGCATTCTTTGTAGAACATTGTGCCCCCCTGGCCGTGCAACTCATCTGCATGAACCGTATCTTTGTAGCTTCCTCAGCCTCTTAAAAAAACACTCTGTTAAGAACTATATAATAAAAACGCCCTATATACCGGATGTTTTACTTATTCTTTCATATTTGTTTTAAAAAAGCCGTGAAAGCTACGCTTATGCGGTTTGTGGAGGTGAGTTATACGGACAAGAGCACATAGAATAGGGTGATAGTCGGAACTATTATTCGGCTAATTAAGTAAAATTTGTTAATAAACTTTTTTAATTATGCAAGTAGACATATAGCTCCAATTAGAAACTTGCTGAGCATCATTGAAAACCACTATATCAACTATTTTTAGACGGTTTTAACGCCGGGGCAGCATTTTACGGTGTTTTCTAAAAAAATGCTCAATTAGGACACGTTTCAAGATCTCGGTTTCTTATCGGAGCTCATCTTTGCGCCCGCGGTCCTGCTCCCAGGTGGCCACGGCGCGAAGCCACCCCCTCGCCTTTCTCGTAGAATTGTGGTAAGCAGGGCGGATGTGTGTTGCGCGTCGGAGCTACTGCGGAGCAAGACGGCGGGCGCGTAGATGCGCTCCTATAAGAAACCGAACTCTAGAAACAAAATGAAAGAGCGTGTTATCCGCAAGGTTATCCTGTTCGGTTATCCGCAAGGTCTACTGAGCACCATTCTTTTTCAGTTAATTCTAACCACCCAAAGGCCCCGTGCTCCACGTAGTAAGCCTTCACGCGTTATCTGCATTCCCTATGTGCACAACTCGGCGCACAGACTGAAGGCAATTGCAGCGCGCTTCAACGTTTCGGTTGTCTTCTCGTGCAAGTTGCGCCTGAAACAACTGTGCAGGCACGTGAACAATAACGAATCCTTAAAAAGATGTTCCATCAAACACGCTCATCAGACCGTTCCGTGTGAAGAGGGGGTGGTATACTCCATCCCTCTCTCATGTGGCGACCGATACATTGGACAGACAGGTCGTTGCCTCAACACGCGCCTACGAGAGCACGTCCTCGAGGTCTCTCGTGCTTCGGACGACACTTTCCACCCAATAGTGGTTCATCAACGCCTCTGTACGGACTGTGAAGCCCGGTTCCAGGACACCTGCACGATTGGGAGACATAAGAACAAGCTAGGGAGAGAGATCATTGAGGAATACAAGATAGCCCATGACGATCACAACATCGCTGCCCCTTCTCTCGCCTTGTCCAGAAATGAGATCAACTACATGAAACCAGTGCTGGATTAGCCGAAGGGCGCTCTATCTCAATTTGTCAATAGTGTTTTTCTTTTTCTTTTTTCTTTCTTCCTGAATTCTTTATCTTCCAGTGTATAGGGTGTGAATTTGTGTTTTTTTTTTCCGGGTGTATACACCTTTGCAAGTGGGATCCCGGCTTAACCTCGAACCGCGCGCCAAGGTGAGGCGGACCTACTCTCCAGCCAGGACGTTCGCTGGTTTTCGTACAATGTTGCCAAGCGTCTCTCGCCGAAGCGCACACCACTGAGCGCAGAAAGAAATTTAAAAAATAACTATAAAACGTACACGTGTCGTCTTCGACCGCGAAAGAGCACGGATAATTAAATAAAATGACTAAACCGGTAACAAATCGAAAAATTGCAAAAAGATCTAAAGTCTTAAGGCGCTCTTCAGAATCCGCCACAAGTCGCATGGCCTTTGCATCAACGATGGCTGCGCTCGAGGCAGCTCTGGCTTCCACAACATGCAGGAACAGAGGCTGCGATCGTTATAGAGTCAGCTCCAACCCTTAGAGATGCCCCGTCCTACAATATGTGATGCTACGATTCTGTGTGGATACCTCCTCCCGCGTTCCGACACAGTAAGTGTGCCGCTAACGTTAGCCATCGGCGATGCAGCAAACGGCACCATCTTGTCATCGCGCACCCCACTGACGTGCCCCTGGCGCACCCCAGCATGGCGGAAACGGTACGGGGCGCCAGCATCGCTTAAAATGGCAGCGCACAGGAGCCTTTCTTGCAAACGTGTATATAAATATATTAATTTCCGCATCTTCCTCTTTAGTCTCAAACGTTAGGAAGGAGATAGCACTATTGAAGGAGACACCAGTAAATGTGTGTTGCTAGTTGAAAGAACTGTGCTGTCTGTCCTTGTCCTTAAGTGTTTTTATTCTTTCTTTGACTCCCGAACTCTAGAAACGTGTCCAAATGAACCGTTTTTACAGAACGCCGTAAAATGCTGCCCCGGTATTATATCCTTCTAAAAAGAGTACATAGAGTGATTTTTGGTGATGCTCAGCAAGTTTCTAGTTGGAACTATATGTCTATTTGCACTAATAAAAAAGTTAAATAACAAACATGTAAACTTTTTTTTCTAGGCATGTTCTTGTATTTTGTATTCTTATGTATTATGTTCTTGCTTGTACGCACTTCGGTGCACCCTCTTGTAGGCCCTTGGGCTGTTGAGGGGCACCGCAAAAGTAATAAATAAATAAATAAATAAATAAATAAATAAATAGACATTACTTAATTAGCCGACTAATAGTTGCGACTCTCTCCTTATACTATGTCATCTTGGCAGAATAACTAACCTGCTGAAACCGCATAAGTGTAGGGTTCACGGCTTTTTTAAACAGATCTGTAAAATAGGTAAAAACACCTTATAATATATATATTATGAACACCATATCGAGCGAAAAACTATTCTGTTAAAGGTGGTAAAGGCCTAAAACATCAAAACTCATACGATTCATTTATCGGGGCAAAGCACGATGCCACGTACCATTCGAAGAGCCAATTTCTTCGGGTAATGAATTCCAATCATGGATAGTACGAGGAATACAAGATTATTTCAAACAGTCAGTCCTGCACATTATTTAAGAGATTGATTTACAGCGTTCATTCGTGGTAACACTAGACGTTTAAAGTGAAGTTAATCTTGACAGTCTAAGTTGTTGTTTCTATTTATTATATTAAAAATAAACTCCTGTCTATTAATTTTTTTTCACCTTTCTTAAAGAGGGCTGTCGCCATGGGCATAGAGTTCCAAAATGGAGGTGTTCGTGCCATATTCATAAAATAGTAACCTTAACGCCTTCTGCATTCTTTTTCTTTTGCTATTTCTAGATTTAGTGCGCATGTCCCACACAGCGTCGGCATGTTTAAGGAACTATTAAACTAATGTTTTATTCGCAGTCAGTTGTTTTTTGCTCGAGCAGTCTTTGAGTCCTGTTTTTAATGCCTATAATTTATTAAAATTTTTTCGTGTAAAAAGCTAATATACCGGTTCTAACGTGGATCTGAAGTTATGTTTATTCCTAGGTATTTATATTCGTATACCGTGGACAAAATTGCTTCCCGAAGAGTGTAATTAAAATGCTCTGGGCTTTTTTTTATGGTTATCTTCATATGTAAACGTTATTCGTCATTGAAGAGATATTTGGCAATCATCACACCATTCAGAAATCATTTAAAAACTTGTTTAGCGAAACTTGGTCTTCAGTGTATTTCACTTGCTTATAAATTATACAGTTGTCTGCGAATAAACGAACTTGACACGATCTGTCCAAGACCAAGATCGTTTCCAAAAAAACAAATTGGGGGCACAACAACAGGTCCTTGGGGAACTCCGGATCCTACACTTGATGTAGAGGAGCGGTAATGTTTTATTTGAACAAAGTGCTTTCTGTTATAAAAAAATATGTTTGTAACCATTTTAAAATGTGTTTATTGTGTACTAATGATCTAAATTAAGGATTAGTTTTCCTTGAGGTACGCTTTTAAAAGCCTTCGCAAAATCTAAACAAATTACGGCCGTCTGATAACCGTAATCAGTTGACTGTGCAAGGTCATTAGCAGCGAGAACCAGTTGTGTAACCGAAGATAGGTTGCGTCTTAAACCGTGTTGACTATTATTAAAAAAGTTATTCCCTTCGAGAAACCATGCCATATGCATATACAAAAAAATGGTTAATCCATTTTGCAGTACTGCTCAAAATTGACACCGAGCTGTAGTTACTAACAAAATGTCGATCTCCTGCTTTAAGATTGGAACTTTTTTTAGCAGTTTTCCAATCATCATGGATTTGCTCTAGTTTAATTGACTTATTTAAGATAACAACGAAGAAATTTCAGCATAATTCCGCATATTGCCTCAAAAATAAATTTAGAATCATGTCTGTTTCTACTTATTTTTTAGTGTCAAGTAACATATGAAATGCTTTCTTGTAAGAATATGATTGAAAGAATTTTATTTTTACGCTTAGTATGCACTGATAAGTATTCGTTGAATGAGGTGGCAATTTTGAATGAGTCATCAATTTGTTCCGTTGTGTGTTATTACATTAAATGTCTGCTCTGTATGGATCATATATCGCCAAAAGCTTTTGGATCGGACAGCAAACATTCCTCTCATATCCCATTATGGAAGTATCGCTTTGGCTCTTGAATCATTGACCATTATTGTCTTCGAACTTGTGATATACTAGGCTTGCCCGCTCTTCGATTTATAATGCTAATTATATTTATTTTGCGTTTGAGACGCGAAGCCTCCAGAGTAACCCAAGGGTTCCTTTGTTAACAGAAACAATCAAATGACAGTTCGAGATGATCTAAAACGCTTTCCTCTAGCGCTCTATTGTAGTCCGGCACTTTTTTTTAAGTACTCGGACAGATTCACACCAAACCAAAGGAGGATGAGATATCGTTTCCCCAACCTCGCAAGTAAACGCTGTACTAATTCATCATATATAAGTACAAGATCAAGCATACTTAATTTCAAATAACGCTAAGACAAGGACAGGCGATGAAAGGGACAGGACAAGCCCTATTTTTCTTCGTCTGTCCTTGTCTTAGCGCTATTTGTAATTTTCTATGTACAAACAAATAGCCCACCATAATATTTTGGTCAAGCATACTGTTGTTTGGTTGAAATTGTCACGGGACATGTAACAATTTACCACAAGTCGTTATCAAACGTCATATTAATCAAAGTTTTGAGTGCCTGCAACTAAAACTCAAAAACCTGAAATTTTACCAGTTGATTTATGAAAGGTTAAAATCACCTCTGATTACAATATTTGAAAAACGTTGTCTTTGCACATTCACGAATTTGTATAGGTTTTCTAGTACGGCTTCAAAAGCATTTGGTGGCCTGTAGATCCCTCCGACGAAAATTGGACTAGTATGGGTACGCTCCTTGACCCATACCGATTGAATGTTCAAAACATCGTGAATTAACGTTGCATCCATATTCTTCTTAAGACCTATTGCCACCCCTCCCCCTGTTTGTGTCCCGGTCTATGCAGAAAATTTGATGCGTTGGTGGAATGAATTCGGCTTTTTGATGTTTGCGTGCAACCATGTTTCTGTTATAACAACTGTATCAGGATCATCGGACAATAATATGTGCTTCAGTTCAGCAGTTTTGTTCATTATGCTTCTGGTGTTTATATTGGTAAGAGTTAATGAACGAGTTACCAAACACCGTTGTCATTCAGTGCTAGATTGCCTAATTTTGTTGTCCCGCTGGCTCGTGTTATTCAGAATGTGGGCGTTTTCCCCTGGGTCCCACTCCCACTTAACAAATTTTAGTATAACCCTGTTGCCTTTGTAGTGAATGGCCAGCCCGAAGCGGACGAAGAAGAGCAGACTTCGAGACTGAAGGTTTTTAGGAACCGATCTCGTCGGTGCTGGTGGTTCTAACTGGAGTATTTTAAAATAATTTATTAAATATCTATGTAGCCTCAACGCAACATATTGGTTACCCGGACGTGATCCGGAGGTCGTTTCCTAAGAACCTTCAGTCTCGAGACCTGCTCTTCTTATTTGTCCGCTTCGGGCTGGCCATTTACTACAACTTTATTACGGTTTTATTTGTCACTATTCCAAAAAAAATCTTTTTTTTCCTGTCTGATATGAACCGAGAAGTCTTCGGATAATGAAATTCAAGTTCCCTTCTGTGTCCGTAAATTTCTCCGGATGCTTTCTTTTACATTAACGTGAAGCAGTTGCAATAGGACAGGCCTTGATTTCCCCGTAATCGGTCTCCCAATCCTATGAATCCCCTCACACCAACATCTCCGATGCTTAATTTGTTTTGTAAAATCTCTGAGACAATAACTCCTCCTAAGTTCAGCTCACTTTCGTTTCGATTTTCAAGATTTCCAAAAACTACTAGATTGTTTCTGCGCAGGAACAATCTACGTAGTAACAAGCAATATGCCGATGACATATGTGTAATCAGTTGGCGAAGGGACTATTCGGAAGTCAAATGATGAACATTAGACTTTCCTTTCAGGAAAACGGAACCGAGTTGGAGAAAAATTTGTATGAAGACAAGAAGAAGTTGTCTACAGTTATAATGACGAAGAGCGAAGAGGGTATCACATTGGTAATCTATACGTTAAATCGTGCACATTAGATTGATATCTTACCTCGAATGGTTAAGAAATTTCATTCATTGCCGTAAAAAGCTGCTCATGTCCTGTTCTCCCTGTATCGCATTGTGCACAAGTGAAAATGTTAAAATTGTGTATATTTTATGGATAAACAAGAAAAACAATATTTAAGATTCTCCTCTATGCTAACTTGATAAGTAACCCACTGTAATTTTTTTGCGGCAATAATGTTGGGATTTAATTTCACTACAGATTACTGCTAACAAAAAAGCTTTAAAGGACACATGCAAAGGAAAAACCATTTTTTAGACAGCTTAGATGGAAAAAGGATGTCATAAAACGATTTTACAACCAAGAAAAAAAATTTTTAGAGCTATATTTACGGCGCTATACGAATTTGTAGTTGGCGCTCGCGGGAGCCGCCGCTGGTCACGTGGTAGGCCCGCGCGCCGCCGCGCTGCGTCGCCGCCGCACGCTGAGCGTCGTGCGAACGCCGCTTCAACGCGTTTCTCCACGCCGCCGTCGCCGCCGCCGCAGAAGTTCGTCTGCTTCGGGGCGCCGCCGCCGTCGTCTGACCGGCGCACAGGTCTATCACGTCTGCTTGAGCTTTTTCAGGAGTTTCCTTTGGGCTCTAAAAGTTACTTATTCATCTTAGTTTTTTGTTATACTTAAAACAAAGATGAATAAGTTACTTTTAGAAGCCATAGGAAGCTTCCGAAAGAACGCACGCACCACGTAATAAATAAGGACCAGTCACGTGATAAATACGGACCACTTTTCCGCGGTGCCCGCGGGCGCCAACTACAAATTCGTTTTGCGCTATAAATATAGCTCTAAAAATTTTTTTTCTTCGTTGTAAAATCGTTTTATGGCGTCTTTTTTCCATCTAAGCCGTTTAAAAAAAGTTTTTTTCCTTTGCATGTGTCCTTTAAGTGCTCGGTTCTTTTTATAAAAACAGGTATGCACAGAGTGAAGCGATAAAACAATAGATTATTCAGTGTAACAGCGTAAACAAAAGTGAGCAATACAAAGTAACTCGTATTGTGCAGTCACTTAAAAAATAATGATGTTCAGGACAAACTTTTTTTAATAAGCTCAGTTTAAGAACAAAACCATCTCAGAAAGTTTTGAAGTCATATTTTTTACAAAACAAAATAGAACCCATTTAGCATGTCAGAGAAACACCTAACTTGCCACAATTCAGTTTGTCGACCATAGGGGCACTAACTTGAACCTAATGCGGTTTTGCTCCAAGGGGTTAGTCAACGCCAGAGTAATTTTCCCTTTGACTTTCTAAAGATTTTTTTTAGTTTGCAATACAATTTCTGCAGTGCCAGGTTTGAGCGAAACGTACCAGATTACAGTAACACTACTAGAAGTAAATCCTAAATTTGGCACTTGATTGGTAGTTTAAGCACAAGAGTGCCACATGAAAACCAGACAACAAGAAGTGAGGCCTTACTGTGGCACTTAACTGGCGATTTAGACCCGATGCCAGATGACAACGAAGCTGCTTGGAGTGAAACCTAGCTTCGGCACTTTGTTAAATTAGGGCCAAAAATGTCCGGACTCGGGGCGAAGAAGGTCAAGTTTTGCTCAAACCTGAATTTTTCGGACTTTTTAAGGCATACATTTTAAAACAAATGAACCGAATTTCAGCCAAAAAGACGGTTCTACCTGTGATATAATGCAAGGCGCATAGACGTTACATTTATTTATTATACTTTATTATATTTTCGACAGGCAGAAATATGAATTTTGTTTACAAAAACGAAAGTATACAGGCCAGCTGGTTACGAAGCATCATAATACAAACCCTAAGATAGGACTTGTTTCCTTTTGGCTAAAGGTTCCAATTATGATGCTTTTATTTTTTTCTGTGTTGAGCGCGTGAATATTCACGCCTAGATTATTCAGTTATAAAAATACTCCTAACGTGTCAGAATGCGAAAGCTTTCGTATACGTAGCGTGTTTCTACAAGCTGCGCGCCGCTCTGAGCTCGGCCGTGCGACCTCTCCGGAGTCTGTCCGGGCGAACTCGGCTGGCTCTGCGGCCGTCCGCTCCCTTTTACCGGTGGCCGGGCCGCTGCGGCACCATGGAAAGGGCTTCCCTGTAGGGTGGCGTTCCTTGGAACTACGCCGCGCGACAGCCAATGGGGTGGCTGCTATCTTTGTTCCATGCGGCATGAAGATTTAGGTATCATTTGGCGCGGCTTGAAAAGCTAATAACGGCTGTTCGCTCCATGAGACAGTTAATGCTTTCGCAATGAAAAGGTGTTATGTTCACCCGTAACCTATATGAATTTTTGATAAACGTTACTTCTTCTAGAAAGGAATTCTGAATGAGGAACTGAAAATTGAACCCTTGCTTGTTATGCAACGAATATCCGGGAAAGGAATACCCCACAGAATTTCACAGATTGAACTGCCTGCTTTGAACATTTCTTCTAAGAGCGGTATGCACCTTACATTTTTAACCTAGCTAAAATATATGTAGACAACCTGCACAATTCAACTTCTCACAAATTCTAAGGACGTTATGAATATTCATGGCGCATATTTTCCTTCGCCCTATACCCAATTCCATGAAAACATAAACACCTTTAACTGCATAGAAAACACGAGAGACAAAAATATAGCCATGCTAAATCTAGAATCTAAAAAAAAATACTCCGGCGACTTCTTTTAAAGTTACCGAATCTTACTTCATCGTCTCAGTACCAAAACTTCACTCTTTTTATGCTATTTAGTTTCTCGTAATTAAGTCTATATATTTAAAAGCAGCGAATGAAGGTCACGATAAAGCGAACATTCAAAGGTTCTTGCTACTTCAGCTGCTGCAATGTCACATGTTATAAAAGTTCCAGGTCATTTAGGAGTACGTCACGAATCTCTTACAGATAACCAGCAAGTGCTGAAGCATTTGCTGTCCCCAGCATTTGTTTCGCTCCAACAAACTGCTTGTATTCTGTTGGAACCAAGTTTTACTGCTTCGAGACAAAACCAGTACCTACGTTTTTTTTGCCACTTTCATCCAGCGTCGCCAGTATAAATTTTAATCTTGAAAAGGTGGCGAAATGCAAACTTAAAAATTTATAAAATGCACAGGAAAGATTTGTCCTATTAGTTGGGATTTCAGTTGAGATGTGGTTGTGTTGAACCTATATTGGGGCAAATGAGGAATCATGAATATCAGAATGCAAATAAGCTGAAACAAAATCACTGTACATTCAACGGAATTAACATTGGCGCTCCTTCCTCACCAGAAGCAGTTCTCATTCTCATGCAGCTAGGTTCTCTAATGTTTCAGAAACAACCTATTATTTTTGATTGTCCAAAATATTTGTCAGGATGCGACATACATTATGGTCATAGTCCTTAATATGCAGGGTGTTTTTTTATTCTTTACAGATTTGTTTAAAAAAAGTCATGGAAGCTACACTTATGCGGTTTGTGCAAGTGAGTTAAACGGCCAGGGGGACGTTATGTGGATGGCTAATCTTTGCAATAGCTCGGAAAAAGTCATGGAAGCTACAATTATGCGGTTTGTGTGAGTGAGTTATATGGCCAGGGGAACGTTATGTAGGTGGCTAATCTTTGCAATAAGTCCAATAATTAGTTAAAATTTGGTAATTAACTTTTTAATTAATCATATTAGTCTCATGATTCCAAACAGAAATATGCTGAGCGTCGTCCGAGACCCCTAAATCAGTATTTTTTAGAAAGACTTTGAGCGCGTGAGAAACACACTAGAGCGCTAAAGTAACCAGTCGTGGAGCAGGTACAAGGCTGGGGCAGGATAAGAGGCGGAAACATTGCGCGGGCGCATTACCGCAACCGCTATCTTTGTACCTGCTCCACGAGTGGTAACTTAAGTGCTATACTACGCTCCTCACGCGCTGAATGTCGTTCTGAAAATGACTGATTTAGTGGTTTTTAATAACGATGATCAAGTTTCTGGTTGGGACCTTATGTTCTATTTTCACTAATTAAAGATTTATTTTATGAATATTAATTAATTAGTTGACTTATCACAAAGATTAGCCCCCCACGTAGTGGCCCCCTGGGCGTAAAACTCACTCGCACAATCTGCGTATATGTAGCTTTCTTTGTTTTTTAAACGAATCTGTAAAAAATAAAAAAAACGCCCTGTATCTACACTTTAACATTTTTTACACCATTTCTAAATTACTGAAATTGGTAATTTCCAAAGACAAATAAATGTGAATAAAATTGCACGTGCAATCAGAGACATCGCATGTAAAAATATACTTAAATTTCATAGTTTTAAGGCGAGTGTGTGCAGTGCATGCACACCGGGTTTCACTAATTTGAAGAAATGTATAATCTTAATCACAAAATTTGCACATATATGTACCATTGAATATATAAAAGTTCTCATATATTACTTCTTCAACAGGTAATTATAGCATGCATGTATCCAAAGCGATGAACGATCTCTCGGCAGAATACACAAACTTCATAATATTATAATCGTTCTTTCTTCCCTCTATCAGTAATTTTTTTCTTTTTTCACAATATGTTCAACATCGCATAAACTGTTTTCTCTTTAGGCAAAATAAAAAAAAAACACGAAAAGCGTCTCAGTTCAACAGTTCTATGCCCGACCGATGGGAAGATCCTTTTAGTATGACGCCGTTTCCCAACGATAAGGCTGTTATTGTAGGTCATATACCAAAATTATGTCGTTAACATCGTTAACCCCTTAAAGTATGAATGTAAACAGAGGGAATCAAATTAACACTTACTGGGAGGGCATGAGGGCAGCAAATCAAGTTTAATACGTCAGATCGAGCGCGAAGCCCATAGGCTAGAAGAAAAGCGATTTGGAAATTTCGGCATTCATCTACAGGGACAAACAGTACACGTTTCGTCACTTGTCGTCTTACGTAAACCCATGTGCATCACGAATGAAATAATATTCATACAATACGCAAAAGAGATCAAGGTACACTTAAGCACTTCTTATGAGTTGTGAATGCAAAGGCATGCACGTCATTCTTCCACTTCCTTATTTCTTCTCCAGTGTATTCGCGTCGACAAAAGAGCGCGCTCTCTCCCAACACTCTCTCCTCGCCGCAGCGCGATGGGGTGAGCGGTCGTTGAAACTGACGTGCAGCGGCCAATGGGACCGAAGCCGAAATCCATCAACTTTACACCGCTCTTTGGGATCGGGGAAACTAAGTGCCGTTGTCTAGGCTTTTCGCGTGGTTTCATAGTTGGGGGCTGGCTTCACTTGGGGAAGGAATTTAAGGTGCCGTTTGGCGCGCTTCGAACTGATAACGTCGGCTCGCTCATGGGACAGTTACTGCTTTCACATTAAAAACAAGTACTACTAAAAGACAGGACGAGCGCTGAGTTAGAGCTGACCTTTCTTAGACAAGTTAAGGGATGATAATAAGGATAACAAGAAAAAAAATAAAGAAAATAAGTAACTACTTTTTATATGTTTAAAATAATATGATTGAAAAAGAAGGAAAAGTTATCCAAGATTTTGCCATATGTTTTATCTCTGCACTCAAATATTCCTGCATTGACCTCTAGAAAAAGCTTTTATGCGAAATTTAAAACTTTAACGCCTCTGGGTACAAGAAACTAACGGAAGTCTGTCAAAACCAAATAAAAACAGGAAGGAAACATTCAAAAGAAACATGGCCTCACCGTTGTGCCGTACATTCGGCGAATTTCACTTCGCATTAAAGGGATGCTGAACCGAACTTTTGGGTGGAAATTCTTGGTCGCAATGGCATACATAGCATGTCCTTTACTTCTAAATGACGTTGTTTTGAACGAGAAGGCGTATAAAATTGAATAAGCACTAAAAATACAATTTTACGCAACCCCTGGTGAGCGTCGCGGAAAGCTCGCTTCGTGACGTGCGCATTCTCATTCGCCTCAAAAGACAGACGGAGCCAAGCCAAGCCAGGCGCTAAGCCGGGTGGCGTTTGTTATTGTTAGTACCACGCGGGCTCTGCCCGCGTGGTACTAGTACCAGCCGCTTTGAGAACAGCCGCCGAGCGAAGAATCAAGGCGAGCACCAACGAACGAGGAGAATGCGCGGAGGCACCAGGGGCGCTGGGGGCGCCGAGAATGCGCACGTCAGTTCCGCTACGCCTGCTCTCAAAAGGACTCGCTCGCGCCGGCGACTTCCGGCCGAGGGTTCGCTCTTAATTCAAAGAAATACAATAATTCGGGCCCCATCCGTCTGATTGAATATCGTTTTTAGGTACAGTACCATCCCGTGAAGCCCGCTCGGGTAATAATTATGAGATTTCAAATATCGGTTCAGCATCCCTTCAAGAAGGTAGGTTCCAGGTTTGATGTGCAAGCGGTTCTGTTTGCAACTGACAAGCTAAAACTTCTTTGCCCCAATATCAATTCACAGCGTAAACACTATTCGACTGTGCTGCAAAACATACCCACAAATATGTAAGCGTCCCCTGCGAAGTAGAATATAGTTTTCTTTCTAAGCAAGAACGTTTTTCAAGGATAGGCAGGCAGGTGCGTAAATGTGATAAACAAGAACACGCTTTGTTCCTCACTCGTCACTGGCGGACTATTTTGTAAAACATGGCAGGAAAAATAATTTTACCTTTTTCTCTGCACAAGTGGTTCCACCATCAGCACTGAAGAGAAATACTTGAAGCTAAAGGCAGTTTATTCAAAGAAGCTTCATATGCGCTGCACCATCCGCAGCACAGTCACAAAGGAATTGTCTCTTTTAAGCCTTGGTTCCTTATGCACTTCATATACGTTCCTTTATTTCATTCTTTTTCCCTAAGTCATCCTCGGAACATGCTCTTCTTCTATTGTACGTACAATTAAATTCGTTTAAACTTTAAACTTTTTTAATAGTATTTTTTTTAATTTATATTTAGACAACGCTTTCCCAGTCTCCTCTTTCTGCTAGTTCTTGTCTTTTTGACTAGTGTTTATGAAATCGTGTCTAACCAACTAGACCATTGCTTCACTCTGATGTATGGAGAAACAAGTGAAGCTCTTCACTTTGATTTCTAGAAGCTACATCAATGTAGGTACTTCTGAGTGTGTAACGAACATTTTTCAGACATGGCCCTTGAAAATGTGTCTCAACTACCCCTATTAGGTAAGCAGGTTCCTCTAATCGTGTGAGACTATTGTTTAATTATATTTGAGGAAGTTTACTGGCTGAAATATACCACATTTTTTATTTTATGTATAGAAAATCGACAAGATCCACCACTACTCGCTGTGGCCTGCGAGATAATTGTATTGTTAGATTCTGTCTATGGAATAGGATTCTCCGGTCTCTTTGAATATTTATTGGCTCTGATGACTGCGGTGAGTTATGACTTCATATATTTTTGTTCTTACATTCGCAAGCACCAACACCAATTAGATCTGAGAGAATATAGCTTCACAAACCAACTTCAGTAGCGAAACTAGAGCAAGGATGGAGGCCAGCTAGATTGAATAATTTATATATTAGTTTAAATACCTTCAGAGCCATCGCCTTTATAGGGAGAGGTGGAAACAAGAGATAACAATAAAACAGAAAACAGTAGTTCTACACTTAGACGATGTAATCTCAAACAGTGCATGGTTTCTTCAGCGTTCTTAAACAGTTGATCAATAAAATGTGGTACAAAGTTATGCGGCGGAATTTAAAGTACCAATAATAAGCAATACGTTCATAACACATAGTGGAAGCCTGGAAAAGAAAGACGATATGGTGCAGAGGTTCGTATATCTCTCTGGTGTTTAGGAAACCCGAAGTATTAATTTTCCTCCATCAAAATATGGTCTTTCAGATTATTTCTAACACTTATTTTTACTTGATTAGTACTGTTGAGTTATCTGCACACTTAGACTTTGTATTATTTAGAAACCATGATGAGACAATGAAAATACCATGTTCATATTTTTTATAGTTTAATTTTCCTGTCTTCAAAACAGAAAACAAAAAACGCAATGTAAAGAATGGAAAAGTGCCACAAAAGGGGACAGAGTAAGGACGACGACAACACAGGTTGCACTGGCAACTGTATTTTTATTTAGAAAAACATTGCTTCAAATACACTTTAAAACACTCCACGTGCCCACTTTTTATCTAAGAATAAACGCTCTTTTCCTGTCAGGGTCGAGGAAGGTTTACTGATACACTTATCTGCACCCTTTGTTTTTATAACATACGCTTCATGGATTTCCTTTGTAGTGTTTTTGTTGTGACGCCCCATGATAGCAATGGCATTTAACACTTGTGTACAGACACATAGGCTGCAATGCACAGATAAATGCCCTTAATGTGACTGTTTTAAAGAGTCAGCATGCTCTCTCGCGCGACCATTCACGCAACGGCCTGTTTGGCCTACGTAGGAGCCACCGCAGGAAAGCGCTATGTTATAAATAACACCGGTTTGACAAGGGTTAATTGATAAGCGTTAAGTAAAAACGTATATTGATCAAATCCAACCTAAGCAGAAAAGTTGCTTGTTTGTTTGAGATTTCCTGCTGCTCTAGACGTTGTGGGATACAGCACGCGTTTTCTCTAGCACATCATCTACTATACAAAGTTTTAATCCTGACACCTGCAGATATAACACCTGGTAGATTTCAAAGGCGGATTAAGACCTATGCGCTTGAATGGTACCGACTTTGTGATGACTGCTTATGATTGCTTCGGAAAAATATGGTTGGCAACCCAGTTTCGCGGAACGCTTCGAGGTTGGAACGCAAGGAGAAATATAGCAGTCGGTAGTGCTCATGCGTGAACATCTAAACCAGCACGAGTGCGTTAATTGCAATACGGAGTGTTTTGTTTTTTTTCACGGACAACGTAATTGAATATAACTTCTTCGGAATTTGCCATCAGCATCAAAAAGGGATAGATGAATGTGTACTGCCTAAGTAGCACAGTCCTCTGGGTCAAATATTTTTTTTGTTTAGTAATAGAGCAACAAAAATTCCATGAGTCCAAGCTAGACCCATGCAATCTCAACCTTCTTCGGCCAAGGTCTTTGTATCTTGATGCTGATTTGCCATACAAGGGCGAAACCTAGGCTTCACTGCTGTTTCTTCGGTTCATTTGTGACATCTTTCGCTCAAGTATGGCAGTTCGGCAATTATGCGGTAGTGTCAGAGAAAATAAATAGAAATGCCACAAAAACGTGATCTGTTGCTAACTGAGGACTTGAATCAAAGCTGTGTAGTGCCCAAGTTTTGGCCATAAGATTGTTAAGCATATGCCAAGTCAAGCTTTTTTTTTTCTCAGCGTGCTACCTCAGTGCTTTGTTCAAGCGTTTTCTTCGCCCGCAAATTGTAATATAAATTCCACACGTTTTCTACACTTTGTTAAGCCAGCTTACGTTTTAAAGTTTTCAGTAGCTCCGATTCGTCCCTAATGACTACAGCAAAACGACTCCCCCTGTATCAGGCTAATTAATTTTAGTGGCATGCTATACTAGCCCCAAATATTTATGGAGACATTGCCATGGATAAGCTCCAAAATGACGTTTTTAGATGATTCATAGGTAAAGTAAATTAAACGAAGTCGAAGCTTATTAAAACTTAATTTTTGCTGCAATTTGAAAAATATGCGCATTTAGGACAAGCATTCAATAAATTGCTATTTAAATCTCAAAAAACGGACCTGCAAAAAAAAAGAAATCAGTAATAATTTTTTTTTTAAATTTCAGGTGAAACTTCGGTTTAGCTTGATGAATGATCCAATAGTTACTCTACGTGTTGTCGGCATTTACCGATTAACTTCTGAGGTGAGTCGATTAATCAATTCACAAATGCGCTTTTTATAGCTTTACATGTTTTTGATTTCAAGGAGGAATCCCTTATTTTTTCTTATTCATTCGGATATGTATTGGCTGTACAATCAATAAGAAAATTATATATGTTTCTTAACCAACGTCCTGTGTTTGGAGGTCCGGACATGTTTTATATGTTCTTAGGGTGAGTATCAAGTAAAGCTTCTTACGACGTTTTGAAGTTTCACTTTAATTATCTATACGACAGGGGTATATTTAACAAGTACTCTAATAATTTGATCTCACATCTGAATTTAGAAGAGACCTCGCTTCAATCAATGGTAACACCCTAAACCCAGGTATTAGTGGTAAGTGCATTGCATTAACTTTCTTCGTAATTATAGTGAGATATTTGAAGTGAGTCAATCTTCTACAACGGTTTCTACATTCTCTTATTGCTGTATCGCACATTGTTTTGCTTCATTATTTGTGCGAATGATCCGTTGTCTCCCAGTATGTTTAGAATCACGTCGGAGTAAGTACTGCGGCGGTCTGACTTGTCCGGTACTGATGACAATATTCAAAGTAATTGTAATCGATGAGTTTTGGGCTCATTTTGTAATTATTTGATTAAATTTATTGAAACAAATAATCACAACTGTAGTATGATTACTTTCGGAAGTACTAAAATTACTTCTAACGGTTTCTTTTTCCCCTCCCCTTTTCTTCATGTCGAATGTAACCACACTTCCTTCGATATTTTGAACGCACCTGAAGTGTTGCCTGAGGGGATTATTTTCCATCAATTTTCTGGCGAACTCGACCGGACGCGCATATACGTACTTGATGAAGCAACCACAAGCGATGATGCTGGTCTATCCTAAGGTTCTATATGAAAGTGCTCGTGGCCTAAGATCAAAAGCAGTTGAATTGAAAAATATTATTTCTAATGATATAGATATAGTGTGTCTCGCAAAATTGTTGCCATGGGACACTGTACCTAGCTCTGAATACTTTTCTTCAAACTAGGTTGTCCACAGGAGAAATCGCGATAATGCGAACACTGGGCAAGAGTTTGGAGGTGGGGTTTCGGTGGCTGCTGACTTAGCGGGCCAGGCGCTTCGAAGAGCGGATATTGAAACATACGCTGATTGCGTTTGGGTAGAACTCCCTGCAAGTGCTAGGCTCCACTATTTCATTGAAAACGTACTTCCCTCCGCTTTTTGATGATGTTGCGTTTATTGACCATTTTGAATCACTCCCTATCATTTTGCATTTTTCTGAATACAGGGTGCAATTATATTGGGACTTTTACCTGGCTTGTACCGACTGATCGATCACGACGGTGTTGCATATAAATAGTGTTACTTCTAAGAAAGCGACAAGGCTCTTTACATTTTAAAGTTTCTAGGGCTTTACTCAGTTTAACTCCTGTCAAAATACAGCACGCAATGTCCTTAATGTATGTTTATGAAATGGTCCTATGCAGTCTATTTTTCAGGCTATTGTACCATTGGTGCGTGTTGATATATTATATCATCCTTCTTCTTTAGTTTAGTTTTCCCTGCAATGTAGGCCCCTTCCTAGCCATCAGTTATTTTCGTTCTGTTATTATTGCGATGGTGATTACATTGATTGCATAATAGCCTAGCTCATCTAAACTTGTTTGGCGTATTATTGGACGAAAACACGGATTCGGCCACCACTAAATGGACTTCGGTAGTAAGTAATGACATTAACCATTTTCTTGCGAAAGAGCATATGAAAACTGCACCCTACGTGGTGTACGCTAAATGTAGTGCTTATAGTGTTCTAGTAAAGATGAACTATTGCAATAATTGAACTTTGAAACTAAAGAACCTCGGATGTTCTGACGCTGTGCTAAAAACAATATGCGCGACAACGCACACAAGTTACGGGAAGTAGGTGAATTTTTAAGTTTATTAACTGGCATATGGCACAAAATGGTCAACATGCAAACAAGCTTGCTTGTATTAATCATGTTTGCACTCTGTGAATAAAAAGCAAAATTGAAAACATATTAGAAGAAAGAGAAGAAAGGTGACAGAAAAGCGTCTGAAATCAAGCTAAAAAGGTTTATGTCATACAACGCTTTTATTCAATCCTCCGAAGGTCGTCCGCATCGTCAAAAAACAAACACAGAAGTCTCTACTGAGCACTTTGTGTTTGTCCGTCCGTTCTGTTTTTCCGACTTCGAGGTTCTTAGCGCTGTACTCAAGTACCACCAGCTCGTTTGCGCCCTAATTTTCTTTATAGACTTCTCATCTGCTTTTAATCTCAATAACACAAAAGTTATCGACGCTATTCGAAAGCTTAAACCTAAGATTTTCACGTGGATTTAAAGTATACTTAATTTTATAATAATAATAATGATAATAATAATAATAATAATAATAATCAAAAATCAAGAATAATTTTTATTAGGTGTCTAGGAACGACCATGCGGTCTTGGTACTGCCACACCGAAACTTACAGACTACAAAAAAAAATAGGAAAAATAACAAAAACCTAATAAACTCAAAACAATGAGTAAAAGATCTGATACATATAACGCATACTGACAAAAAGATAAGATATACACAACAAGGAAAGAACGGAACACAGTGTCCGAACGTAGAGTAGAAGACTACCACAAAAACGAATATACCTTATTAAAATTATATATAATAACATCAGAATCACGACAGGTTCAGCGAGACTCATACAAGACTCTGAGAGACCTGACAAATTCAGTCACACAAAAAAATATCAAGATAACTTGCAATGCCATTATATGCCCGACACATGCGAAATATGGGGTCCAGGATGCTTAATGTCCGAAGAGAGTAAAACGACGTTGTCAAACGGATCGCTGTCCGAGGAGCTCGTAAAGATATCTGTGAGAGCAGTTCTGAACAGGCGGCCATGCCATGAAGGACTTCGAAAAGGAAAACCAGATCTGCCTTTTCTTGACGGTGATATGAGCTGTTAATATGTAGCACGTCCTATACACTGTTACTCTTTGATAGAAATAATAATAATATTAATATTCAATAAATCAATCAATCAATGTTTTTTTTAAGTCCCCAGGAACAACCTTGCGGTCTTGGTATGGGTGCATTCAGGAAACATGAAAAACATAACACTACACACACAACAAACAAACAGTAAACAATAAAAACACTTAAAACAGATCACATATGTCACATAAACTCTCTACGGTATACCACCACGAAAGCGAAAGAAAAGGAAAACGAGAGTATAAAGTTTGGTTCTGAGCAACCTTATAAAATGCAATAATTGGTAAGCAAAATTTAGGTGAGAACCTTCAGCGCTCTGATGAACTCCGGTGTGTTATTGTTAAATATATCAATAGTGTCTGTAGAAGAGCAATTGTAGGTGTGCCCGATTCATGACATGGGGTCGTGAAGATTAGTTATGCGAGCATTGTAGAGGGGTGCATTTTGTCATGTAGTTTTTACGGGAATTTTCAAACGCACATTTGAGATAAATGATGAGCAGTCAGTGATGCCATGAATAAGTTTGTACAGAAATAGGATATTGGCATTTTCTCTCCTACGCCGCAAGGTGGGCAGTGCCAAGGTTTGTTCCTACTGAACGCCCTTTTGCAAGTCTATGCTAACAGTGCTTAGTTTTTGCGTCAAGTAAAAAGAAAGACAGGCATGTAAAACTATCTCAAGAACCTCTGAAAAGTAACTCAACAAAAGCAAAGGGTGGTACTTATTTACTCCAGACGCGTCACGGCTTTGTGTATTGGCACTACCACTGACCTTTTCCAAAGACATAGGAAAACACAATTTCTCAGTGATAGGTTAAATATGTGCAAAGTAAAGGGGAAAACGTATCAGTGCATCCTTTAACAATATGGCTAGGCATAGGATCACCTCGGGATGACTTCTTATTTTTAATTTTGGAATGGCCTCTAAAATGTTATTTATCCCGATCTCGATTAATGTGAAAATGTTGTTACAACCTGTAGCACAGATTGAGAACTTGCTTTTGTATTCCTTCTTGGAATAACATTCACGAAAGTAATTTGGGAATATATTAGCTACATTTTCAGGATATGTAGTGTATTCCGTATCATTACGTAGATAGATTTTTCTTGCTGAGTCTTTCGTGTGCGTCCTGACAAATCACCAGAATTCATCAGGTTCACGGTAGAGGCTATTTACTGTCGATATTTTTTATATATGTATTTTTAATGTTTGAACAGTTCCTTTACAAGCGCCTGTAAACACTGACCTTTATGTACCGTGACTGAATTCCGGTTCTTTTAAACAATTTAGGATAGTGTTATTTTTTACGCATGTAGTGTTTTTACTCTTTCGATAACCATAACGGGTATTTAGAAGGCTTAGACAATCGCTCTTAAACACACGCATCGATTGCATTTTTTACTATCTTCGTCAAGGGCTGAGATGCAGAATCTTTACTGTTATCATATAGAACCGATGACCAGTTATTGTCATGAAGGAACGTATATACACCTAAATAATCACCCATATGATAGTCATATCTGGTTAAATTTTGTCTGTCACGAGACCTCAGTGGTAAAGAAAAATATACGATGAAGGGCGGTTGAGAAAACGTCAGGTTGCACAAGGGTATCGCTAATTGAAATGACGCTTTTTACAGGGCAGTTTGAAAGAAAAAGTTGAAGAATATTCTTGGCCGTGTTCCTAAAATGATTATGCTGAGTTAGACTGTTAAAATAATGAAATCTACTAGACATGACGCTTTTACAACCGTTTGATTTTTTCCACTACTGCTTAAACCGGTGGATCCATCCACTCTTGGTAGATTTAAACCTCCGTTCATATGTGCTTTAAATTTCGAAAAACCAATTTGATGTTCAAGCGTTTTTAATTGTTTTACAAACACACTCGAATCCGAGAGGGGAAGAAAATATAGTTTCCGACGAGGTAATTGAACCTATCCCGTGATAATAATTCAACCCATACACACCCTCCATACGTTTCCAAATCTGACCTCCTGCATGATTTAATGTTATCCCGTACGGATGTCCAACACCCCCCCCCCCCCCCCCCCCCCCGACACATTTCTTCCTGGTTGCACCGTAATGTCTGTACCTTCGATAAACACTGTATGATGTTGGAAAGTAACTGGTGCTGGAAATGTCGTTCATGAGCCAAGTTGCAGTTGAACAGAACATGTAGAAATTAGTGGGAACGACAGTTGACATACAGTAACCTGCTCTCGCCCTCAAACCGCGAGCATTCTAATAATAGCATTAAATTTTCGAATAGTCATCAGTACTGTTTGGTAATAATTCTCGCGTGATATAAAGCTTTACAAAAAAAATCTGGTGAAAGATACACCCCTCGGGTCATAAGGTCCTGTTGTGGTAGATTTGACCCTTTTTTGAAACGTATATTTAATATATCTCTAGTGAAGGGTATTTTCTCTGGTTAGTGGAAACCTTCTCTAGTACCAATTTTTGAAGCTGGTGATCCGTCACTAGTTGATAATTACAGTCCTGTTTCGTGATTGCGCGATTTCACGAAAGTTTTCGAAACGGGTATGCATAAGCGCATTTTTAGGTATCTTAATAAAACGATATAACTTTTAACCATGGGTTTCTCAAGGAAAAGTCTTTAGAAACAAATTTCTACTCTTTTCTAGATTTCTGTGTATCGCTAGTTTTAAACAGAGGCCACAATGATGCGGTATATTTTTGACATGTCAAAATAATTTCCCCGTGTAGATGATTCTTTACTCCTTTTCAAGCTTTCTCTTTATGGCCTGTTCCCTAAGCTCTGCAAATGATTGAATAACTGATTGTTTTTACGCAGAAAGACGGTTCGTGTTGGAAACTCATAAAAAAAGTTTTATATGAACTTCCGATGAATCCCAGGGACCAAAACTGGGACTAATATTTTTTTTGGTAAACAATATAGTTTTATGCGACAAGAACCTTCTTCTTTATTTTGTCTCGCGGAAAGTTCCGTGTCAGGGGCAGAGATAAAGGCTTGGTGCCTGGCAGGTACCCTGCCCCCCCCCCCCCCCCCCCTACAGTTCAGCAGTGCAGTACAAAAACACAGTGGCAAATACATCAGCGAACAAAATGCGCCATTTACCAAACCGATCTGTTAGAGGAAAACAGACCGAAATACATGTGCAGCATTCTAAGAAAATAAAATAAAAGTTAGAGTTTTATACACCATAAAAGTGAAAAAAAGACATAGATCATCGAAAGCGACCAGGAACAAACGTATGCTTCCGTTGTGAAATACAAGAGATACAAGTATAGAATACATCACATTAAAATCAGCCATAACACAGTGGTATTAGTAACAGAAAAATAAAATGATTTTCTCTCACACTTAAACATCAAAAACAAGGAATGAATAGATGCACAAATCAGACATATTTAAAACACTCCTAAAGTTTACGGCAATAAAAAACATGAAAAAGCAATTTCACTGGTCCCCAGCATTCTCCTACAAGCACATTTCAAGCTATTGAAAAGTTGAGAGAAATCTACGGACATATTGTTTCTGTTTAGAGTTTTATTTATCTGGAACTATAGCCTTTGTCGACCATAGTTTGTTATTATTGCCGGCACCTTCCTTATTCGGTTTCGAATATTGTACGTGCTGAGATTGTATGTTCATGTAGTGTGGAGCTTGTTTCTGTGTATCAATCGTAATAGTTTGAAATAAAATAGTTGGTCTGCATTTAGCGTATTATATTTTCAAAAAAATTTCGCGGACAACATCAAACTTTTTTTGGATGTAAGGAGCTACCTGACTGTACTTTATTTCAAAATGATAGTGGCGCAAATTACGGGGAGTGTGTGACAACTGCTATGCAGCTAAATTCAGGAAAATCTAAATTGAGATATTTATCAAGAAAACGTGACGTTTTCTTGTTGAATCATGTGCTAGAAGGCATTGCAATAAATGCTGTGTCTCATGTGAAATATCTCGGCGTTTACATTAATATCACTCTTTAGCATGTTTCTAAGGTTGTTGATACTGCGATAAGAAAGTTGGAAATGATCAATCGTATATCACGTTTTTTACTTCACCCTTATCTTTCGTGCGTCTGTTGTGCAAGGTCGTGCGCTCAGGACTTGCATTTGGATATATTATTTAGAACACAGTAGCTTTAACCAAAGTAGCAAGGATTAAAAATGTGACGAAATTTATTTGAAATAGTTGCGAGGGTCGAAAAGGTGTTCGGTTACGATCCTTTGTGAACATTATTCAGATTTGAAAGGGTTTACGAGGAGGGCTATTATATACATTAATTCTCTCAATAGGATAGCCCATGACACTATAAATTTCAGAAAGGTTACGTGTTAGTAATGACTTTCAAGGGTCCACTAAAGCAAGTCGTCATTACTTAACTTTATACCCCAAGAAACTGTTTGAATTATCACAATTTTCTTGACTGCAGTTTGATTTTAATAACGGGAAATTGTGTATTATATATTTTTCTTTGTTTCGGTAAATTTAAGCCAGCCTTGCAAAAATGTGGGTTGTCTGACTCGGAGTTTGTGGTTTGTGTAGAAGTTGTACCTGCTTCACAAACCCGTATTTGTGTCGATTCCCACGTTTCTGTGCATTTGAAATTGTGTTTGTGTACATTTTCAATTGTGTTGCTTTAAACATAAACTATAGAGCACAACCCAAAAGGCTCCATAGCCGGTCGTGGGCAGTAAAGAAAAATAAAATGTTCTTCATCTTCTTATTGTTATTATAATCGCGTCCCTCGTTTATATAAGTCTCCTACCAGAAAGTACTCGACCCAAATCTCAGATAGGACGATAATATAGCAAAATTGGTGAATTAAAAAGATAGGCAATTCATAATTCGGTGATTCTAAACCAATAAGGAGGTTACGAAAGACCCGTTTTTACACCGGCAGGAAAATCGGCCATTTGAAAATCAGAAGCAATCGAAGAACTAACGGTTCCTTTTTCAAGTAACGGCTATTTACTTTGAGCGCGAGTGATACTCTTTGAATGCTTTCAAAGCATGATTAATTGCAATTTATAATGGGTTACTGTTTTCGAGGAACATGTACAACACTGGGCGGGGTCATCACTTTCATATTTACGGTATTTTTGCATGGCTACAGTTCGCATTGTTTAACATTTTACTTTTGTATATTATAACATCCCGTACATGATTGACGAATTAATTTTGGCGTGAAACATCCAGTCTATTAATGGACATTAACGTTTTGTTTTTTTTTTATTTTGTGCTAATGCTTTTTTTCTGACTTTCGTTTTAGTTTTAACGCTGCAAGTCTCGCCTACGTAGCGTATTATTTGCCCGATACGAGCCCAATAGTCAACATTTAATGGCTCTATCTAAACGTTTCACGCCCCCAATATTTTTGGGTACTACATTTGAGAGTTTTAGGGAAGCGTTTTGACAGATCCAATATGGTACGATGGGCCCTACGGTACTCAATGCGCATGCGCTAGAGCAGAAGACTCGCATATGCACAGTTCTTACCGGAGGGCCCATCGTATACTGTATCGGGTGCGCAAAAACGGTTCCCTAAAACTCCCTATTACCTAAATTATGGCCCCCTTAACATTTGTAGCACCTATTTTTTCAATACATATAACATGATGTACAGGGAAATATATGAATGACTAGACCGAAGGTAAGAGCCTAAAGCACACAGGAACGAATACGGTCCGAGAAAGGGGAGAAAAAATATGCGGCACCAATGAACGGGATTCGAAGTCGAAAATGTGTTGTGTACCCCAATAGCTTCCGCAGGATTACAGAAGAAAAGCGTAAAGCTCTTGTCGGCATGTCTCCCTCAGTACGTTTGGTACGAGGATATTAAATTCTTTTATAACCTTGACGTAAAAGGACACGTTGATCGTTTGCTTCAAAAGTTCGTAAAAGACGAATTTAGTGTTTATTAAAAGTACAATTGAAAACGAGCGTGTTGGTTAATAGATACAAAACTTGAAAGTATAAAACAGAGAGGACGAGGACGAGAACAGGACATCTTTCATTTAGCAACAACATAGAATGGCACAACGATAAAAAACCGCCCCCAAGGGTCTCAGCGTTCTCAAAGAGGGAAAGGAGATACTAGTTATGAAGGAAAGGGAATACACTAAAAGAAAAGTTTGAAAAGCGCATCAGTAATCAAGTTGAGACCTTTGGGGGCGGTTTTTATCGTTGTGCCATTCTATGTTGTTGCTAAATGAAAGATGTCCTGTTCTCGTCCTCGTCCTCTCTGTTTTATACTTTCAAGTTTTGTATTAAAAGTAATTTGGCATTAACAAGCCTTTGAAGGTGAGATACCTTGCTCTAGTATTAGATCTGTGGGGGCATTCTTTAATGAGGAACGCCCCATTATAAAAACACCTAAAGATCGTGTGAACTTCTCTAATTGGTTTCACCTTAAGTCAAGACACAGCCGACGCTACGAGCTGATGGTACAAATCAGACAGCATCAAAAGCGCTCCGTCATGGTGTTCATCATGTTTCTGTAGGTGGCATCATTGGTGAACCAATCATAAATGGAAAAAGCCTAGTGACTTGCACTTTTGACGCTGCTCGATTGATCCCTTTACCTCGTAGAGTCAACTGCGTCTGAACGTAAACTGAAACGAAGTATGGTTAACTACTTTTGATGTTTTACGTTTGGATCAGACATTTCCGTGAAGATTGGATTCCACACCTGAAACTGCTTGCGGGTGGAGAGGTTTAAAACAGGTGTTGTGCCTCTTCGGACTGCTTACGCAGCCAAAGCGCACCGAGCCGTAAGCAGTCATCAGAGGCTCAAAACCGGTTTTTACGGAGTCGACCGTAGTAAGCTCAAGTGCGTGAAAACAGCCTGTGGAGTGTGGCGGACATCGCCAAGATTCTTTACATTCAACAACGGCGTGTTGCGGGCACCTCGGTTATAGTGGCAACCATATTGTATTAAGCAGTCGAATGCGGTTGTATCTATGCGGGCCGTGCTCAAACATTAATGATAAGACTGTGATGGCGCAGGCGAGCTCGTGTAGATTTACCATTTTCTTGAACCATCTGAGGCTGAGATTGAGACGACACCTTCTGTCTTTCTGTTCCTGTCCCTTCCCCTTCTGCATCTTCTAGATCTCCACCCAGTTTCAGGTGATTCAAGAAAATGGCAAACGTTAATGTTTCAACGAGCACTTTGTTTTCGGTCATTTGGCTGAGGAAGATTTAATGCATTCCGGTAACTCCGACTTACATTTACTGGGTTTCTTTTCTTAGGAATATCCTATTACGGGGTGATGTGCGCATTCAACAATGTAGCGATGGGAATGGACAAGCCTGGAACGTACCAAGGTGTTCGTGTAACTACTCACGAGTTGGGACATGCGTGAGTAAAACAAACTACGCAGGTCGAATAGGCCAAAAAATTACTAATCAAATTCTCCAAACCCAGCCAAGTAAAAAAAAGCTCACGCAAATTTGTGTATTCTATATTCTTCTATATTCTTTTTGGACATACCTGGTGGCAGCAGGCACGCCTTGGTGGCGCTAGGTAGAGGAATATCCAAGCCAGAGATATGTTTATTTAGATGACTTGAATGCTTCCAGCGTGACTGAAGTTTTAATGACTGCCCCAAAACGAGAACCCACCAGTAAGACATCAACATAAAATGTGATAGTTTACCCGAGTTAAGGAACATATACTAGTAGGCAGGGATGGGCAGTATTTCAAATAAAAGTATTTGAAATACGTATTTCAAATACTTTGTGTATTTTGCAATTGTATTTAATTACAAATTGGGCAATGTATTTGGCGTGTGTATTTAAATACTAAAACGTGGGTATTTCAAATACAATTGTAATTAAATACAATTTTGTGGGCGAAAATACATCTTGTTTTTATGCATGTGGTTGTAAGATATGGTCTCCATCCTTTATTCGGCCATGGGGCTTTTTTCGTTTTCTCCTCCGGCCTTATTTTAAAGGCACTGTCCAGAGCAGGAAGAAAACTACGTTCTGTACCAAATGCAGTGTCTCTCAATCAAGCAGAAGCGTTTAGTGACTTTGAGATTACGGTGCTAGTCCAGGTCAAGAATAGTGACGAAATCGACGTTCACAGGCAGACTGGCTAAACAAGTGCCTGTGACAACTTGTGATGCTTTCCAGCCTGATTTCCATCCATATTTTTGCCTGGAATATTTTAAATGCGCGGGTCGTCCAGATCTTCGTAACTGGTGCGAGTTGCAACAATAAAACATTCTCTAGCTAGTGCTGCGCGTCTTGGTCGTCTCAGTTCTTTGTTGGTCTATACCAAAATGTAATCGACAAAAAAAAAGCTGCTTGAACCTCTGTACTTTTTTCACCTATTACGTCCAAGCTGATTACTTTTTTTGTGTGATTATAGTTCTATTACGTTACTAGAGCCTCGCACACTAACTCCCGAGTGTGCGATGCAAAATTAACATGAGATACCCAGAAACCCGTTGCAGATGCCTTGAAGTCGCTGACGCAAATTTTGAGGAATGTATTTGAAAAAGTATTTGGAGGAGACCAAATACATTTGGTTGTATTTGTATCTTGTAATTAAATACTTTTTTGGAAATGTAATTAGATTTGTAATTAGATACATTTTTGACAATGTATCTTTGTATTTGTACTTCGATACATATTTGGATCTACTTTGCCCATCCCTGCTAGTAGGCAACTACAGAACGTTGCGCAGAGCGTTTGCGCGAGGCCTATGCACGCAGTTTTGTTTAAATGCAGTCGGTCGCACTAATGAGCGAATCAAAACGCGCTTCCGTTGCTTGCAGCGTAGCAATTTGGGCATGTTTAGACAATGACGGTCACAAGGGTGTCATGCCTTTTTTTTTTGTTTTCAATTAAAATTTATGTGAAGTATCAGCACATGTCCACACAATGATACGGACCTTACTGTTAGAAGAAATTTCATTGTTTTTGTGAATTAAAATGGCGTCTGCAACAACATTTTCCCCAAGTGCGCGTCAATTCGAATTCGAAGGCTACAGGAAAAAACAAAACAAAAAAAACTTTCCACAGCGTAAAAATGTTTCTGAATAAAGCACGCTAACCGGACTACATGAAATAGTTAAATTACGCGTAAAAGGATTTAGGTATATAAAATAAAAGCTTGCCCTCTTCCACAATTTTTTTTATTATTTAGGCATTTTCTGCGATTTTAGAGCGTAGCTCTAATGGCTCGTTCACACTTGCGAAATACGCACTCACCGCCGACTGGATTCGCTCACCGAAAAAAGATAGGGCCGTTCACATTTGCTGCCTTCTGCCAGCGTCTCGCAGTTTCCCGAAAAGACACGAGCTGAGGAGAGCTCCAAAACCTCCTCCTTGCCCGCACGCGTCTCGTCGCCATCGTGGCCAGCTCGTGAGCGGGGACTTGACGTTAGCAAGCGCCACTTTCCCCGTGCGTTCTGATTGGCTTGGGGCGAGCGGAAACTTTTCTTCGGCTTTGAAATTCGGTCCCCAGAGCGATCTTGCTCTCCACCGGAAATTCTGCCTGCTGTCGTAGCCGGGCGTCAGAATTCTCCGGCCGCCGGTTCGCAACTGTGAACGAGGCGTTAGGCGCCCGTTTGCGCGTTTCGCGGCGTTGGCGTAACCGCGATAAATTTAGCGAAAAAATTGCCGTCACGTGACCTCAAACCAGTACAGTTTCCTCGCTAAATTTAGCGGGGAAACTGACGTCATAATACTTGAAGTGACGTCACCTATCAATCGCTTCAATCACTGACACCGACCGTTTCAAAAGTGCCGTTTGCAACCATTTTTTTTTGTAATCCCCCTGCTGTGTTTCATGTTGTATTTTTTTTTTTTTTTTTTGCTTCACCACTCCTCTTTGTAATGCTTCGGACTTGAGAGTAAATAAATGAAATGAAATCAGAGCTGGTCTCCTGACGTCACCAAAAGCCCTGCAAAAGAAGCAGCCGAACTTGCACTCCGAATACTGTAAAACCCTTTATCTTCGCGGCCCCTGTTTTTCGCGAATCGGTCACAGATGACATAATCGCGACCACTAAATTTCGCGAATTCCAGACGCCTGCATTAAAAATCTTAAGGACCGAAATTTTCGAGCGCCCTTAAATTTCGCGAATAATTCAATTCGTGAAATTCGCGAAAATTGAGGGCTCGCGAACATTAAGGGTTTTATACTAGGCTAAAATAAAAAAATTCAGCTACATCGTGTATAGCGGTGGGCTCGTTTTATACATAACATACATAAAACATTTTGGATGTATGTACGTATACATAAGGGTAAACAATATGTATACATAATATACATATTTGCGTCCATGCGGAACTGGGAAAATCGTGGTTCCACCTTTCTCTCACACGTGATTTTATATAACAAAGCAAAAGTAATGCCTATTGCTTAAGTAAGGTTCATTCCGTTGTGTCGGCATAATTTGCTAACTCATAAAAATAATTAAAAAAGAACGTGCAGCCTTTCCTTTCTGGTAAAAGAGGAAGACTAGCGAAGCTGTACTAAGGCAGGAATGAAGTAATGGCCGGCCGAAAGTCGGAAAGCTCGAGTCGAAAGGCTCGAGTGGTTGCCGCCGTCTATGAGCGACGGCGGTAGCTGTCCAGACTTCTGTGTCATCAGGTAATTTGAGGACACAAACGATCCTGGGGAAACTAGTCCCTAAAAGCTCCGCTGTAAAAAAAGCAGGACCCTCCCATCAACGTCCTTATATTGAACACACACAGTACGCGAAATCCACGTCAACATATGGGGCTACGTGGCGACAGCGTTGAGTTAGACGATCTTAGAAAAAGTCTGTTGGCTTACGCGACTTACACCCAGCTTGGAGAATCGCAGCCTTAAAAAAAAAAAAAAAAAAAAAAAAAAAAAAAACGTTCTCTTAAATGTTTTCCCCTCCCTCCCCGCTCCCCAACAAGCAAAATCAATATTCTGTCTTCGATCTGAAGACCAGATGTGTGTCGCTGACAGGCGCAATTGAGCACGTGATGCTCACGTTTTCTTTTTTTCTCGGCTCCTGATTGGCCTCCCGCAACAACCCGTTGATGAAGGCGCTTTGGAAGGTTCAGCAGGGTTCTACCTCTTTGTCCTGCGCCGCGTTGCGCTGCGTGACTGTGCACGTCGAACTGTGCTGTCGCAAGGATGCCCGTCCGCACAGAAAGGCACTCAAATGTCAATGTTTTTATGGGTCTTTAAAGAAAGATTACCATAATATTAAACGACCAGAGAATGGGGTAAGTTTCTATAGTGTGGTGACAACCTGAAAAAAAAAGAAAAAACATCTGAAGGAGGATAAAAAAAATGAACGCCGTTGACTAGTTTCATACGTTGTATGAAACTTCTACGTTGTACGTTGTTTTACTTTTGAATGTTTTCAATTTCATTTTACCAGATTAATGCTGTATATGTATAAAATCGGATATATATCAATATGTATCTACTTTAGGTTTTCCTGTGTACATGACGGTGAAGGACCTATAGCCCATATTCCAAATCATCAAGGATCAAACTATCCAGCATGCGCTTGGGAAGAGGGCTATGTGATGAGTTACATCGAGAAGGATACGAAGGCCTTTCACTTCTCTCCTTGCTGCAAACAGCAGATGAAAGTGTTCTTCAAGTAAATAAATATCTTGGATTTTCTATTTTCCGTATACTGCGTAAGCGGCTGGCTCAACAAATAACCAAGGTCATCGCCAAACAGTCAGTCAAACAGTATAAAAAACTAACTAACGCTTCCTAGCTAGTTTCTCATTGTAGAATTAGTTCTGACTTTTTTTCAGAAAATATACATGAAATCTTAATAAGGGGAAGTATATATGCGCAGTTTTATTAATGTAATCTACAAATAAAAATATATCTATTAAAGGCGTTGGTCGCACTCTGGTAATCTTGAAGCGGTATTGCCAGGATTTTAATGTTGAAAGAGTTGGCAGTTTGTATTTGTTATATTGTTTATCCAAGCACAAGGTGACCAAAAACGCGTCACCTCTCCACGAAAAGTTGATATTCTGCTGCGTAGTCGCAAAGAAAAAAAAAAGGAATCATTTGCTGATTTGCAGTTGCGTGTTAAAGGTTACGGGAACTACGGTGACAGCGTCACTGGGGGATACGCGCAAGTCATCAAAAATACGATCCCCTCTCCTGCTACACTTTTCGTCACCCCCGTGGCGAACTGACTTTTGTGTCAAACGCTAGCTGCGACCTTCGACGATGCAAATCTTTTAAAAGTCGATAATCGCGGCGGAAGCGGCTGGCGTTTTTGAAGAGAGAACCCAAGGGGAAAACACGTGATCCCTTAGAGTATGTCACTCGAAAGACGACGTTGAGGCTTGAGAGAAACTTTGACGTTCGATTTGTTTTATACTTTTTTAATATAGAAACTAGCGCCCGCAAGAAAATTCGGTTTAATGTTCTTCGTTCCATAGGTGACACAGATTAATGTTCGCAGTTTATTGTCCAAAGTCCGAAAATCGTTGCATCGCCCCTTTAAGGGTGCAAGCAGTTTTATATTTTCAAGTATATATAATGTTGAACAAAGCATTTTAAAGCACAGTTCTTAGGTGCCCGTTTACCGCTTGAGCGTCGCCGCCGTCGCCGCCGTCCTAACTATGCGATGCGTTATGGATTTTTCCCATAATGACGTCATACGTGACGTCACATGTGAAAACACGAGGGCATATTTTTCCCGCTATATTTGGCGGGATATTCTTCTTCTAAATTTAGCAGAAAATGTTCCCGCTGAATTTAGCGAAATAAATTTACCCTGGTGACGTCAGACGTGACGTCACGTCTGACGTCAGACTTGACGCCACTAGCGTAAACTTAGAGGGAAAAATTTCGCGGTTAAATTTAGCGGGAAAATTTTCCGGTGAACTCAGCGAGAGAAGTTTACAATCCTTACGTCACACGTGAAGTTATATCTGATGTCACTTTAGGTGGCACATAACTTTCCCCTCTTCCTCCTCAAGAGCTGCGCTCTAATTCGGCATCATAGAGAATTATTAACATTTTTTTTTTGTTTTTTTTTTGCATTTTTATGTATTTTTCAATTTGTTTAGAGAGCAGTTTCAAAGAGAACGCTTTATATATCATCAAGAAGAAATATTAAAAAGAAACAACTTCACTATTCGAAAGGCCCAATTTTTTATCGGGAGAGTATTTATTAATTTTGTTATAAAAAGTAGAATAAAAGGAATAATTAATGGAAATATGATCATAAACTACTCTCGAACCTTCCATATTATAAAATATTGTCGAGGAGGAAACCCGTGATACCTTCGAAGAGAAAACTCGATAAAAGCAAGCTAACAGTTTTTACCTTGCTTTCCTACATTTACTTTCCAGAACTCTCAGTAAGGAATGCTTGGCCATTAAGTATGAATATGACTACTTCACAAGGTCAGGGGGAAAATTACCAGGAGACAACTTCAACGGAAACAGCTTTTGCAAAGCGCAGGTCCCTTCCTATCCTAATATTTTCTATCCTCAGGTAAGTATAGTACTAGTCGTGGTAGATGCGCATTTTGGCATATACACAAAATTCTTGATTACATTACACATTCCTAAAACGTAGTTCGGCTGTTTCAACGAAAACTCAAAATGCTCTACCAGTAAAGTGGTTTATAAAAAAAAAAAAAAAGAAACACACTTTTTCAGCTGATTAGTATGTGTTTCACAATTTCTGGCTGCTGGCGAGCAAATGACAGAGCTCTTTTGTTTCTTCCCTGCGGCCGACCTATCAAGATCAGCCGCGCCGTTGAAAGGAAACGGCTACGGTGGAATAAACGCTCTGCGCTAGAGGCGCCACTAGTAGCAGTCCGTGGTTCGTTCATTCCGGATTCATAACAGTGCGGCGAGGCCGAACCCAGCCTTTGTCGCAAGTCCTGTGACACACTCTAAAAAAGGGTATGCGTCTACTTTCACGCACAACACTCGGAGAACCAATCAGCGCAACTTACGAAGGCAGCTCAGCGAATCACGATGCCGACACATCTATTTAGGCCGAAAAACGCAAACCGAGTTGTGATATTAAGCAATGCAAGCGTGACGTTTTGCATTGCTTAATGTCACAACTCAGACTGCGTTTTTTGGTCTAAACGCATGTTTTCGGCATCGTCATTCGCTGAGCTGTCTCCGTAAGTTGCGCTGATTGGCTCTCCGAATGTTGCGCCTGAAAGTAGACGCACAGACTTTTTTTAAAGTATACACCCTATGAGATACGGCGACAAGGGTTCTGCGAGACAAATCATGGCTTATATGGTGCCCCAACAATGAAAGCAAAGATATATGGAGAGCTTATCTGACTTGTCTTGACGCTTTCTCCGAAGAAAATTCGGTAACAGACGCAGCGAAAAAACGCGCATTGCTGGTGTCGGCTCAAAGTTCAAAGTCAATTGAAGTCTTGAAAGCGTCAAGCTGGTCGGAAGCGTTCTACACGCTCACGTACGCACAAGACGTAGAGCGGTGATTTCCGTTATACTCGCCGAAACAGAACAAAGTGATCGCGAGTTGAGACAGAACAAAGTCATCGAGAACCCAAGAAAGATTCCTCTTTCCTGGGCTCTCCGTGGCTGTGGCCGCACTATAGAAATGAGATTTTAACTTGAAGCCTCAGTTCTCTTCTGGGCCAACAAATAACCCCGCGGTCTAATTTCTGGTGCACAAAAACATACATAAAAATGAATCTGTATACAGGTCATTAATACATCTGAAAACAATAAACCCAAGTATTTAACGATGGGTATACCCGTGTCGCCATACTTATGAGTAGGGTTTTGTGTTTATGGATAAATCCGAGAAACCCCAAATATCACTCGCCGGCAGGAATTTGGTCAATTCGGATTGACCCGATAAACTCCGAATCTCGATGCACCCCTCACCCCCAGATGCTATTTTACGATTACGTTTCACTAGCGCACAGTCGCAGTATTCCTGGAAAAGTGGCACCACAGTTATCTTTTTAATCTCGCACCATTGTCGAAAGGCGACTTACCGCTTATCTCATCAAGGTTCATTCAGGACAACAGGTCATTGTACTTTCGGGTCACGAAGAAAGCCACTGGTTTTAATTCCAGTATGGGCCCTACTTATTGTGCTTTTGAGGAAGGGGAGGTTATGTGTAACAGTGAAAGCTATGAACCATATAGAGTCCATAAAATTAGGAAGAGGGGCAGGCTTGACTTGAGCTAGTTGGTATTTATTAAATAGGGTCAACTGAACGGTTGCAATGTAGAAAAACAGAGAGAGGAAAAGACATCCACACCGCTGTTTCCTCTCTCGGTTTTTCTACGTTTCAATTGTTCAGCTGACCTTACTCAAGACGGGCAGTTCTAACTTCTCTATTACAAACTTTACCACTACACATCTCGCGGTTGATTGAATAGGATAGGATAAATACGGGCTTCCCACCTACCCACCCATCTCCAAGAGTTCAATTATTTTAAAATATCAACGTTTATCGAAGCACCACTCGTGTGCAACGTTTGTCGTTAGTCAAATTAGTATTGTCAATGGCAATGTCACCAACGCCAAATCTAGCTAAAAAACCATATTAATTGATAAAAGCCCGTTCGCTTTTTTCACAAGCATACGTTTACACCCGCATAATATTTAATTATTTATTCATTTATTCAATTTTAATAGGAAACACTTCGAAATTGAATTCTCAGTTTCGGAAGAATCGGGAATCAAACAAAAATAAACTGATAATCTCCGAATTTCGACAAGAAAGAAACTCCGAAAAACACCCTTCGAATCCCCTAAATATAAATAACGAAAACACGGAATCTTGCTAATAAGGAAGATGTCATTTAGCGTACATGCAGAATGGTATCGGGATGCGAGATAAAGATGTATAAGGCAGATTCTCGAAAAACATAAAAAGCCAGTTGTACCCTCGCTAATGGTGATAAAGAACGTAGAGGCGGGTAAAAAGATGAACTGATATGGCCGACATTGATCGGAGCATGAAAATAAATAAAATTAATTCACATCTGTAAATTTGACTAAAATATGAATTGGTTAATTGATCACTTGATCCATTCAATCCTTCATTTGCGTTTTGTAATAGAAAAGCGTCTTGGGCTTTATGTAACTGCAGCGCGCAGACTTTCAAACTACTCGTGCAAAGGCTTTTATCGCGTAAAATAACGAAAACCGAACAAATAGCCCAGGCATAATTTTTAGACTTAGAGCTTATTACAGGAAGTTACAATACATTTATATTGCATTTTATAACCTTAGTTAAGAAACCTTTAAACGCACCCAGTTAATTATTGTGAGGTCGCACGACAAGCGTCCAGAAGTGTGAGGAATTAGTTTCGTCGAAAAACTACAGAGAATATGTATATCTACGCCTATGGCGATCAATCGTTTGCTTTCAACTCAAGATATCTAGAAGCGAATATGCCCTATAAGTTTTGTTGCTTGAAAGAATCTACCTATAAGAACACTATATAAAAGCGCACACAATTATCATCAGTATAGACGGGCAGAATAAATGTCTAATATTCTGAAAATTAAGGAAATATCTTTACCTGATTTGCTTTTATAAACCCTGCAGCCGCAAAAGCGATTGGACCTTCTGAAATGCAAAGTTAAATGCATGGCGATAATTGATGCTCATAGACGCTATTTGTATTTCGATCTTTCTGCACCCGATGGATTGCCTTGCTACGGACAAAATGCGGTGCGTAGGCTTTTGTGGCTTTAACATAATCTTACTGATCAAATCTGACTTTTTATACGTTTACGATGCTATTACTTATTCAACTTATATTCTGATAATATCGTATTGTGATCCAACAATAGCTTTTGTTAGTTAAAATGACGACAGAAGAATTTTTACATGCATGAAGGCAGAAACATGTCGGTTAAAACCAAGCCCTATACAAGAGAGGATAGTAGAGCTTCCTGAAGATATAAGAAATGAGGTTAATATCAAGAATATATTGATAATATTTGAAACCAAACTATTTTGCCAATTTTATCGAACAAATACCCGATTTTAAAAGCTTAAAACAAATCTTATGTTCTAATTTCCGTCCACCTTCAATTTTGTTTTTTAAATATGTGATCCAGTATTAATAGTTAAAGGGACAATAAAGGCGACTTTATTTAATTTTTTTAAATTGTGTTTCTATGCTTCTTGGGAACATAGCATGCTGCCCAATTTTCGGTAGACTTTTGTCACGCGTATTTCTGTGCCTACGAAAGAAGTAAAGAAACCGAAACTGAACTATCTCCATTCTCGTTTCTGGGCCTCCGAAAACGGAGGTGACGTAGAGAGTGAAGTCAAGTGTGAAAAGTAGGTATCGTTAGTATTTAGGAGATCGAGACTCTGGTTACCGCGGTGGGTTATAGCAGCGCTGTGGCGCGGTGGTTTCGTCGTACCTGTCAACATGGACGGCAATGCCGCTCTCGCGAGCGAGTTCGAGCTTTCGTTCAGTGACCCACACAAACGGAACGGGAGTACGTGTTTGGCGGCCTCCGCCCTCACCCGGCGGAGACCGCCCAGCCAGTAACGAGCGGCCCGCAATTATGCTGCTTTGTTTACGGTTTAGAAATCATTTCCGGTCTGATTTTTACGTTTCATGGTTATTCAAGCGGAAATTAGAACAGTATTCCTAAAAATCGAGAACCAAAACGTGACCGAGGGCACGTCTCTCGTCTCGACCAATCGCTGACGCGTCTCTTGTGACGTCGCGCTTCTTGGCCCCGCAACGGTCACGCGAGCTCCGCTTCTCCTGGCTTCTCCCGCAACTCTCGGGTCGTCGCCCCAGTCGATCCCGGTACGATTATTACCGCGACTGTTTCATTGATTTGCGCGGCACACAAGCGCCGGTTTCGACTGAAATTTGGGCAACGTGGCCTGAGACGTGCCTGGAACCGAGTTCAGTCGACAAAACGATGTCCGAAATTGCCTTCATTGTCCCTTTAAATTTCACTGAAATGTAAAAGCTGCATGCAGCTATCATTTTATTATGAGATATGTTGAATTGACATTCATAATGCGTCAGATATGATGGCACTCTCTGTCTTGACGGCATTGCATTTCATCTACTTTATATAGTGTTACACTAACCACATTTATGACCAAGGTTGTGTGAACGACAAGTATATCAGGAGGTAATTAGATTGGCATAATCAAGAGTCCAAATGTGTAACATTTTTATAATATGTGAGAAAATTTCACAGAGTTGGAATTTCTTACGAGTTTGAGAGCAGTACTATAAGATATGCAGTCCAAAAACGTAGTGTCGGACTTCGTCGCTAAAATGCGAGATTTCTCAAAGCGTATTTTGAACAATCGCAACTTAAATTCACGTACTAGCTTTAGCGGCTAACCCTAATAGAGACACAGTTGAAAACTTTATTTCGCAGGAATTTATTAACGTTCAGTGTAACAACTTGTAATGAGCTTATTGCGTGTTGTAACTTTCATTCATTGTTGTTATTCTTCCTCGTTTAACCATTTCAATTTTCATATATGCTGTAAGTTTAGTAAACAAAATTTTATTATGTGTCAGATATAAATTCATGACGCCGTACGATTTTTAGGGTTTCAATTGTTTTTCTAATCAACGGGCATGATTCGGGAGCGATTTGCAAGAAGGTTCAATCAGAAAGAAATGCAATTACAAAAACATTATGATAACTAAAACTGTCATAATTAAAGTAATGAATGCTAGAGGTCTGTTGCATATTTTAGATGACATTCTTATCTATGTTGCTGTTCTTTGTGCAGACGTGCAAACATGGGGAATGTCGCTTCTGGTAACACCCGGACCCAAGTTGTAAAGACAATACAGAACATATTGGTTAATTAAATAATAAATTCGACCTTCTTTTATCAAAACAAAGTTTTAATAAATATTTTATTCGAGTGTTTCACCACTGCCATTTTTTGTGAAATCCTTTTTCCGTTGGAGTATTCCAAGAAGGATCCTGATTATGAAAGTCTCTACAAAATTTCACTAATTGTTGTTGTAAAACAAAGGCCTACTTTATAAGCAATATTGCTTTCTTTAGAGTCACGATTCAGCAACGCGTTCTTAGGCGCAATAGCAACATGGCGAGCGAGTGTTCTAAAATTCGTCTTTGGCACATTGAAACGCAAAGACGGGAAAGCCAATCAAAAGGCGACATAGAGCCCGCGCGATGTCGAGGCAGCCAAGCGCGCGCCGTCGTTGGTTGAGGTTTGGGACAAAGAGACACACGTGGGCGCATTTAGGTGGTAATCAAACGCACGTGGTGCGCAAGGAGCAGAAGAACTTGCGCGCCACGCGCAAGTTCTTCTGCTCCTTGCAACTCTCTACAACTCTCTAGTATTTTACAACTCTCCAGTCTTCTATAAGAAAGAACGTCATCAGAAGCCGAGATTAGCTCTTCTGAAAGTGAATTCCACTCCCTAATATCATAACCAAAAATTATTAAGAAAAACTGGTAGTCAGGTAGTCAGATGACGAAACTTCTACTTTTGTTCGAGTGATCCAATCTTGCAGATTCATGAGGCGGCTCCAATATTCAAACTTCGTTCAATACATTTCCGTCCATGATAAACTGTGTGAAAAAAGCTCAACCTTACACACCTTTTTCGACATCTAAGAGTGTTCCAGCATCATACATTTTTCATTTATGTACACCTTGTGCAACGGCTGTAATCTCCTGTCACAAGCATTAATCCCTGATTATGAAATGTGTCTAACTTTTGTACTAGGTAACGCTGCGGCGGGTCCCAGCTGAAGCACGCATGTTCTAGAATCAACCTGATAAAAGAAGAATATAACCTCTGTTTCATGCTTCATGATGTATTTCAAAAAGTTCTACGATGTAGTGCAGCATTTTACTATCCTTGGCAAGAGTGTAATCACTGTGATCATTCCAGTTTGAATTGGACGAAATATAAATCGCCCAGGTACCGATAGCTGTCCACACTTCAAGTGTAATATATTTTAGTTCATACGCAGTTGAGGAAGCTCTACCACTTGAAAAAAACATATATTTGCACTGTTTTCACATTTAAGCTCATTTTCCAGCGGTCACACCAATCTTGCATACTTCTGAATCGTCCTGAAGTACTCAAGCATCCGCCTCTTGTTCAACTATTTTGTGTAGTACACACTCGTCACAAAATAATTTAAGATAAGGCTGTAAACCTTCACTAATGCCATTGATAAATATTACACTTATTCCTTCAATTATAATTGATGGAATGATGCAGTTTTACCTTTGAATGGTTCGTGGGTTTTCTGTAAGTAAATAGTGCTGCATCATTTCTTGTTTCTTTTTGTTTTTGTCTCTAGAGCTTGCTCGTAAAAAGGGTGTAGAAATGTTTTACCTGGAAAAGTTCGTTCTCTCCATAGTTGTGTTTAATTTAGCATGATTTTTATTTCTTAGAAGCCTGCCACGCCGATAGTTGTTCAGAAAAAATCTACAATCTAAAAAAAGGCCCGTGCGTCTGCTTTCCCGCAGAACACTCGGAGAGTTAATCACCGCAACTTACAGAGGCAGCTCAGCGAATGACAATATTGAAACGTATGTTTAGTCCAAAAAACGATGTCTGAGTTGTGACATTAACAATGCAAGCGTTACGTTTTGCATTGCTTAATGTCACAACTCAGACTGCATTTTTTGGTCTAAACATATGTTTCGGCAGTGCCATTCGCTGAGCTGCCTCCGAAAGTTGCGGTGATTGGCATCTCGAGTGTTGTACGTGAAAGTAGACGCACAAACGTTTTTTTTAGAATGTAACACTCCGGTTATGCACTATTTCTACATTTTCATACGATTTGTTTGTAACGAAACTCCGTCAATACAAACATCGTATTTTAAGTAAAAAAAATGAAAACCGTTTATAACTCCCTGTAACACCGAATTAGAGCGACGTCATCGGCATCTGTATTGCCATTGTCATCGACACTGATGACGTAATCAGTGACGTCACTGATGACGTCATCGGCATTCGCATCGGCATTGTCATCGTAACTGATGACGTCACTAGTGATGATGACGTCAACAGTGACGTCACTGTGTTCACTGACGACACCATCGTCATTGTCACGTGACCTCATACGGGTCACGTGACCTCCGTGAGGTTACGTGACCCCCTTGAGGCGACGGCGACGCCGCTCGGAGGGAGGAGTAGCAGACAGGATGAGGACGTGAGGAGGAGGGAGGAGGGCTATACCTTCCCTCAGTACCCTTCCCTCCACCTCCTCAAAAGCTGCGCTCTAATTCGGCATCACAGGGAGTTGTAAACGGTTATGCATTATTTCTACCTTTTCATATGATTTGTTTGTAACGAAATTCTGTCAATACAAACATCTCATTTCAAGTAAAAAAAATAAAAGCCGTTTACAATTCCCAATAACGCCGGTTAGAGCGCAGCTCTTGAGGAGGATGATGGAAGCGTACTGAGGGATAGTTGACTCCTTGTGGTCACGTGACCTCAAGAGGGTCACGTGACTTCAGGGGGTCACGTGACCTCAGGGGCTCACGTGACCTTTGGGGGTCACATGACCTGGGAATCACATGACCTTAGGGGGTCACGTGACCTTAGGGGGTCACGTGACCTCGGGGGGTCACGTGACTTCTGGGGGTCACGTGATCATAGGGGGGTCACCTGACTTAGGGGGTCACGTGACCTCTGGGGGTCACGTGACCTGGGTGGGTCACGTGACCCCCTTAGGTCACGTGACCCACACGTCACGTGACTTCAGGGGGTCACGTGACTTCTGGGGGTCACATGACCTCAGGGGGTCACGTGACCTAAAGGGGTCACGAGACCTAGGGGTGTCACGTGACCTGGGTGGGTCACGTGACCTCGGGGGGGGGGGTCACGTGACCTCGCGGTTACGCCAACGGCGACGCCGACGCCGCTCAAGCCGTAAACGGGCCCCTAAGAGCTGCGCTCTAAAATGAAAACCGTTTATAACTCCTTGTAACGACGAATTAGAGTGCAGCTCTTGAGGAGAAGGATGTTAGGGTACTGAGGGGAGGGTATACCCCTCCTCCCTCCTCCTCTCCTCGACATCCTGACTGCCAAACCTCCTCCTCCTCCTCCTTACCCCCCCCCCCCCCCCCCCCGTGGCCCCCGTGTGGTCACTATGGCCCGTGAGCCCCACGGAGCACACGTGCCCTCACGGGGGTCACGTGACCTGGGGCGGGGTCACGTAACCTCACGGTTACGCCGACGCCGACGTCGCTCAAGCCGGAGACGGGCGCCTAAGGGGTGCGCTCTAATATATTTACTTCTGTGTTTTGGAGTACCATGTTAGCCAACTTCTCCCGCAGGTACTGCCCCGGATTAAACTTGACGTCGCCGCTCTAGACCATCAGGAAAATAGTTGAAAGTTTAAGACAGTATAGAGTTTTAGCACATCATTCCGATGAAACCGATAATGATACCCTCTAGTCCGTCCTATAGGTCTCCTTTGCGCGCGCATCGTATAGTTATCGGAAATATCGGAGGTATCAGAAAGGTCTTCTAAAACTTTCGAGTGAATTTGTGCACCTAGTTATAGATTTAGATTTTTGAATCGATACTTTAATTCTCACATAAACATTTATGACGCTCAACCTGAGAAGGTTTTGTAATATAACACACATTTTAGGGTTTCTCTAGTGTTGGCATAATAACATTCTCACACTATACGAAATAATTGAATTTCGTTATGATATCATAAACTTCAATGCTGAAATATGTACTAAAGTTACCCCGCAGAGGGCGCCTACACCTTGGGTGTCAGGTGCTTGGTGAGTAGCGTCACCCCGGACCCCAGCCACGTGGGCCCCCATACCCACACGCAGGGTGCACCTGCTTTGGGAGGTGTGTGGTGAGTGGCGTCGCCATGAGCCCCGAGCCATAAGGGTTCACCCACCCACGATTGCCTGTGCAGGGCTTAACCCATGTCCGCGGAAAAGGGGGATCCTGGTGGCTGAGCTGAGCCCGGGGTGCATATTGTTAACGCGCAGGCGATACACCCCTAGCAACGGCGCGCACGCCAGACTGGCTGGATCGTAGAGATGAACGCTGCCGCCGTCAGCATAGGCAACGGTCACAACGGATTTCCGAAGCGGTAGCGTAGCTTAGTGGTAAGATATCTGCCTCATACGCAGCAGGCCCGGGTTCAGTCCACTGTGTGGGCTTTTTATTATTTTTGTCGAGGCATTTGGCGATATTTACGACATTTCTTTTTTACGATTCACACTAAAAAAAATTGAAAGCCGTTTACAACTGTAACGCCGAATTAGAGCGCAGCTCTTGAGGAGGAGGAGCGAAGGATACTGAGAGGAAGGTATACTCCTCCGCCCTCCTCCTCATGTGCTCATCCTGTCTGCTACTCCTCCCTCCGAGCGGCGTCGCCGTCGCCTCACGAGGGTCACGTGCACTCAAGGAGGTCATGTGCAGTCACCGGGGTCACGTGACCTCACGAGGGTCACGTGACCCGTATGAGGTCACGTGACGGTCAGAATGACGTCACCAGTGACGTCATTGTTGACGTCATCACTAGTGACGCCATCAGTAACGTCATCAGTGGCGATGACAATGACGATGTGTATGGCGTTGACGTCATCAGTGACGATGACGATGCAAATGATGTCATCGGTGACGTCACTGGTGACGTCATCAGTGGAATGACGATGACGATTCGGATGCCGATGACGTCACTGATGACGTCATCGGTACGTCATCAGTGACGATGCCGATGGTGTCATCAGTGACGTCATTGTTCAAATGGTGAGTTTTTGGCCTATTTTGGGCTATTTTTCTGGATC